ATCGAGGGAAGCCATGACAACGCAGGAGTGGCTTCGGGTCAAGTCTGAATGTCCTTGAGTGGCCCAGCCAGAGCCCCGACATGAACCTGATCGTACATCTCTGGAGAGACCTAAAAATAGCTGTGTGTTGATGCTCCCCATCCAACCTGACAGAGCTTGAGAGGATCTGCAGAGAAGAATAGGAGAAACTCCCCAAATACAGTTCCTGAATAGATACTGTATATTAGAGTGAGAAAACTCCCAAAATACAGGTGTGCCAAGCTTGTAGCGTCATACCCAAGAAGACTCGAGGCTGTAATCGCTGCCAAAGGTGCTTTAACAAAATACTGAGTAAAGGGTCTGAATACTTATGTAAATGTAATATTTCCATTTTTGATTTTTAATACATTTGCAAAGATTTGAAAAACCTGCTTTTGCTTTGTCAGTATGGGGTATTATGTGTAGATAGATGAGGGGAAAAAACGATTTAATCAATTTTAGAATACGGCTGTAACGTAACAAAATGTGGAAAAGTCAAGGGGTCTAAATACTTTCCGAATGCACAGTGAGTAAACAAAGTATATAAAGAGAATATGAGGTGACCAGCGTTCAATGACTCTCTATATACATGGCATATTAGTCTCAAGCTGCAGGGCAGAGTACCAGGTGGCTAGGGATGGCTATTCAACTGTATTGTGATTTAAACATTGGTATGAGTATATACCAAGTTCACATGGTACAGTGCCTTTAGAAAGTATTCACAACCCTTTACTTTTTCCACATTTTGTTGTGTTACAGCCTGAATTAAAAATGGATTACATAGAGATTTTAAGTCACTGGCCTACACACAATACCGCATAACCCCCATTGTCCTCTGTAGCTCAGCTGGTAGAGCACAGCGCTTGTAACGCCAAGGTAGTGGGTTCAATCCCCGGGACCACCCATTCACAATTATTTTTATTTTTATTTTTATTTTTTAATATATAAAAAAAAATGTATGCACGCATGACTGTAAGTCGCTTTGGATAAAAGCGTCTGCTAAATGGCATATTTATTTTTATTTTAATGTCAAACTGGAATTATGTTTTTAGACATTCTTACAAATTAGTTACAAATTAAAAGCTGAAATGTCTTGAGTCAATAATTATTCAAACCCTTTGTTATGGCAAGCCTAAATAAGTTCAGGAGTAAAAATGTGCTTAACAAGTCACATAATAAGTTGCATGGACTCACTCTGTGTGCAATAATAGTGTTTAACCTGATTTTTGAATGACTACCTCATCTCTGTACCCCACACATACAATTATCTGTAAGGTCCCTCAGTCAAGTAGGGAATTTCAAACACAGATTCAACCACAAAGACCAGGGAGGTTTTCCAATGCCTCGCAAAGAAGGGCACCTATTGGTAGATGTGTGAAAAAAATTTAAGCAGACATCGAATATCCCTTTGAGCATGGTGAAGTTATTAATAATATGTAATATGTATCAATGCACCCAGTCCCTACAAAGATACAGAGGTCCTTCCTAAGTTGCCGGAGAGTAAGGAAACCGCTCAGGGGTTTCACCATGAGGCCAATCGTGACTTTAAAACAGTTACACAGTTTAATAGCTGTGATAGGAGAAAACTGAGGATGGATCAACAACATTGTAGTTACTCCACAATACTAAACTAATTGAGTGAAAAGAAGGAAGCTTGTACAGAATACAAATATTCCAAAACATGCATACTGTTTGCAACAAGGCACTAAAGTAATACTACAAAAAAAATGTGCAAAGCAATTTATTTTTTGTCCTGAATAAAACATGTTATTTTTTAGGCAAATCCAAAAAAACACATTACGGAGTACCCCTCTCCATATTTTCAAGCATTGTGGTGGCTGCATCATGTTATGGGTATGCAGTCGGCGTTCCAATTCATCCCAAAGGTGTTCGATGGGGTTGAGGTCAGGGCTCTGTGCAGGTCAGTCAAGTTCTTCCACACCGATGTCGACAAACTTTTTCAATATGGACCTCGCTTCATGCACAGGGTTATTGTCATGCTGAAACAGCAAAGGGACTTCCCCAAACTGTTGCCACAAAGTTGGAAGCACAGAATTGTCTAGAATGTCATTGTATGCTGTAGCGTTAAGATTTTCCTTCACTGGAACTAAGGGGCCTTGCCCAAACCATGAAAAACAGCCCCAGACCATTATTCCTCCTCCACCAACTTTACAGTTGGCACTATGTATTGGGGCAGGTAGTGTTCTCCTGACATCCGCCAAACCCAGATTCGCCAGATGGTGAAGCGTGAATCATCACTCCAGAGAACGCGTTTCCACTGCTCCAGATTCGAATGGCGGCGAGCTTTACACCACTCAAGCCGACGCTTGGCATTGCACATGGTGATCTTAGGCTTGTGTGCGGCTGCTCGGCCATGGAAACCCATTTCATGAAGCTCCAGACGAAGAGTTCTTGTGCTGACGTTGCTTCCAGAGGCAGTTTGGAACTCGGTGGTGAGTGTTGCAACTGAGGACAGACAATTTTTACGCGCTATGCTTCAGCACTCGGCGGTCCCATTCTGTGAGCTTGTGTGGCCTACCACTTCGCGGCTGAGCCGTTGTTGCTCCGAGACGTTTGCACTTCACAATAACAGCGTTAGTTGACTGGGGTAGCTCTAGCAGGGCAGAAATTTGACGAACTGACTTATTGGAAAGGTATCATCCTATGACAGTGCGGGCCATTCTACTGCCAATATTTGTCTATGGAGATTGCATGGCTGTGTGCTCGATTTTATACACCTGTCAGCAACGGGTGTGGCTGGAATAGCTGAATCCACTCATTTGAAGTGGTGTCCACATACTTTTGGACATGTAGTGTATATGAGTATGTACCAAGTTCACATTGTACAGTTGAAGACGGAAGTTTACATACACCTTAGCCAAATACATTTAAACTCAGTTTTTCACAATTCCTGACATTTAATCCTAGGAACAATTCCCTGTCTTTGGTCAGTTCGGATCACCACTTTATTTTAAGAATGTGAAATGTCAGAATAATAGTAGAGAGAAGGATTTATTTCAGCTTTTATTTCTTTCATCACATTCCCAGTGGGTCAGAAGTTTACATACACTCAATTAGTATTTGGTAGCATAGCCTTTAAATTGTTTAACTTGGGTCAAACGTTTTGGGGAGCCTTCCACAAGCTTCCCACAATAAGTTGGGTGAATTTTGGCCCATTCCTCCTGACAGAGCTGGTGTAACTGAGTCAGGTTTGTAGGCCTCCTTGCTCGCACACGCTTTTTCAGTTCTGCCCACAAATGTTCTATTGGATTGAGGTTAGGGCTTTGTGATGGCCACTCCAATACCTTGACTTTGTTGTCCTTAAGCCATTTTGCCACAACTTCGGAAGTATGCTTGGGGTTATTGACCATTTGGAAGACCGATTTGCGACCAAGCTTTAACTTCCTGACTGATGTCTTGAGATGTTGCTTCAATATATCCACATAATTTTCCTTCCTCATGATGCCATCTATTTTGTGAAGTGCACCAGTCCCTCCTGCAGCAAAGCACCCCCACAGCTTGATGCTGCCAGCCCCTTGCTTCACGGCTGGGATGGTGTTCTTCGGCTTGCAAGCAACCCCATTTTTCCTCCAAACATAACGATGGTCATTATGGCCAAAAAGTACGATCTTCGTCCCCATGTGCAATTGTAAACTGTAGTCTGACTGTTTTATGGCGGTTTTGGAGCAGTGGCTTCTTCCTTGCTGAGCGGCGTTTAAGGTTATGTCGATATAGGACTCGTTTTACTGTGGATATTGATACTTTTGTACCTGTTTCCTCCAGCATCTTCACAAGGTCCTTTGCTGTTGTTCTGGGATTGATTTGCACTTTTCGCACCAAAGTACGTTCATCTCTAGGAGACAGAACGCGTCTCCTTCCTGAGCGGTATGACGGCTGCGTGGTCCCATGGTGTTTATACTTGCATACTATTGTTTGTACAGATGAACGTGGTACCTTCAGGCATTTGGAAATTGCTCCCAAGGATGAACCAGACTTGTGGAGGTCTACCATATTTTTTCTGAAGTCTTGGCTGATTTATTTTGATTTTCCCGTGATGTCAAGCAAAGAGGCACTGAGTTTGAAGGTAGGCCTTGAAATACATCCACAGGTACACCTCCAATTGACTGAAATGATGTCAATTAGCCTATCAGCAGCTTCTAAAGCCATGACATCATTTTCTGGAATTTTCCAAGCTGTTTAAAGGCACAGTCAACTTAGTGTATGTAAACTTCTGACCCACTGGAATTGTGATACAGTGAATTATAAGTGAAATAATCTGTCTGTAAACAATTGTTGGAAAAATTACTTGTGTCATTCACAAAGTAGATGTCCTAACTGACTTGCCAAAACTATAGTTTGTTAACAAGAAATTTGTGGAGTGGTTGAAAAAACGAGTTTTGACTCCAACCTAAGTGTATGTAAACTTCCGACTTCAACTGTATATGATTCTTCAGTCTGGACACATTATTGATACAGACTGTGTGTTTCGCATATGATCATATGAGTATTGAACAAATAAACAAATTAATATAATACTGAATTACATTGTGTTCGTGCCTTGATCACCTAAATATCTGATAATTCTCTAAATTCCACTCATGAATAAAATGCTGAAAAGAGGTGTTTCAAAGTTGAGTTAACTCCATATTCTTACATTCCACAAACACTGAACCTGCAGTGCAAACCAGGTTATGTGAACACAGATGGTAGACTGTTATATAAGTATTTGGATTTGTTGGACAGGATGAAATCCTGTTTGATTTCGACACCTAAGTGACAGCTTTTACCTCTGGACATTTCCACATCTCCCTTTAAACAAATATGGACTGCAAATGTATCTAGTGCATTGAGTCGAGTTCTGACTAATGGATTGAGAGTAACGAATCTGCTTGTGCGTCTGTGAGGAGGGTGCCACCTGAGCAGACAGTCACCCAGCTCAACTATATAAAGGCTGGCCAGACCAAGAAGGGACCAAGAAGCAGCTCCAGGGAGCCAAAGAGAGGAGAAACCAGCAGAGATCTACCTACGCACAGCAGGCAGCCAGACACAGACTCCCCCTTTCTCACTGACACTCAACAGAGGGAACACAGGTGAGCAGCACCAAACCCCTAAAACTCATTTTCAACCGCTGATACTTCCCATTAGGAAGTTTCTCTGAATGATATTCAATTCAGAATGAGATTATCTTCTATATGATGCTGTTTGGCTGAAGTTGCAGATTCTTTTTAACAATCTCCTATTTTCACTGCTAATATCTAGGAGGTCAAAAGATGAAAGGCACCCACTCTTTCGCTGGACTTCTGCTCTTGATCATTGTTCAGAGCAGCTTGCAGATCCCGCAGGAGGACACAGAGGACAACTCTAGGTAAGAGCCTCGAACTAGGAGCAACTTCTGAACTCTGCACCATTCAGGTTGAGGCTTTCTCTCTCTCTCTCTCTCTCTCTCTCTCTCTCTCTCTCTCTCTCTCTCTCTCTCTCTCTCTCTCTCTCTCTCTCTCTCTCTGTAGATCAGCATCCTGTAACTACTGACTTGTCTGTTTTTGCAGCCTATTGACAGAGGACTCTATGTTCAGTGAGCCAAGGGAGCTTTCAAACATGAAGAGACATTCAGAGGGAACATTCTCTAACGACTACAGTAAATATCTCGAGTCGAGACGAGCGCAAGACTTTGTCCAGTGGCTAATGAACTCCAAGAGAAGTGGGTGAGTGTTTCTTTCTTCTTCTCCAACTGGTGTGTCTGTTTTCCTCATTCCATTTCACAAAGCAGTGGATCATCTTCCAATATGATCCAGCTTACACTGAAACTGTATGAATGCAGTACTTAAGAGATATTATGATTTTTTTTTTTGCTGAGCTATAACCGAAGATAAAAATGTCCTACATTTTATGACATACTGTAAATATTTAACATCTTGGGGATTATCATGGTTTTATATGGTTTTAAATTACAGCTCAGTAAAATCTTACTATAGCAGCTTAATAATGCAAAGTGAATCAATCTGCTTAACAACTGTTAATCCTCATATTATCAACTATAAATAGTTACTATCAACACTATAAAATCTCTCCATGTTTTTTCAGTGGTCCCATCAAACGACATGCAGAGGGTACCTACACCAGTGACGTGAGCTCCTACCTGCAGGACCAGGCAGCCAAGGACTTTGTGTCCTGGCTGAAGAATGGCCGAGGCAGACGAGAATAGGGCTCCTCTACTCAGCCACAGAGTCCCAGTGTCTTATGTCTTATGACCCCCCAGCCAAGAGAGAATGCAACTCATCCAGAATGACCCCCCTGTTCCATTTCCTGTTTTATAACCTGTATCCTCCTTCCTCTGGTCATGCTAATAAATCCCCTAACAAGAAATCCTGTTGTCTGTCAATTGCTAATGTTTTTGGTTGTTAACAGAAAATGGTGACATAATGTATTAACTAAATACTTCACTTTGTACTTCAAGGACAAGATTTTCAGTGTTAAAAAAGGAGAGGAACAAGATCGAATGGTTAAAGAATAGCCAAATTAAGATTTTAAAAAATCACTAAAGATAACAGGTTCAAACTTTTTGTAAAACTGGCCCAAAATCTGTAGTCTATACCTTGCTAATTTTGGGGAGAAACATTTTAATAAACCATTATTCTTGCCATACAAAATCTATTCAAATATCCAAAGATACACTACATGGCCAAAAGTATGTGGACACCCCTTCAACTTAGTGGATTCGGCTATTTCAGCCACACCCGTTTCTGACAGGTGTATAAAATCGAGCACACAGCCATGCAATCTCAGTGCTCAGTGACTTTCAACGTGGCACCGTCATAGGATGCCACCTTTCCAACAAGTCAGTTAGTCAAACTTCTGCCCTGCTAGTGCTTCCCCGGTCAACTGTAAGTGCTGTTATTGTGTCGTGGAAACATCTAGGAGCAACAACGGCTCAGCCGTGAAATGGTAGGCCACACAAGCTCACAGAACGGGACCGCCGTGAAATGGGTTTCCATGGCCGAGCAGCCGCACACAAGCCAAAGATCACCATGCGCAATGCTAAGCGTCGGCTGGAGTGGTGTAAAGCTCGCCGCCATTGGACTCTGGAGCAGTGGAAATGCGTTCTCTGGAGAGATGAATCACGCTTCACCATCTGGCAGTCCGACAGACGAATCTGGTTTTGGCAGATGCCAGAAGAACGCTACCTACCTGAATGCATAGTGCCAACTGTAAAGTTGGTGGATGAAGAATAATGGTCTGGGGCTGCTTTTCATGGTTCGGGCTAGGCCCCTTAGTTCCAGTGAAGGGAAATCTTAACGTTACAGCATACAATGACATTCTAGACAATTCTGTTCTTCCAACTTTGTGGCAACAGTTCGGGGAAGGCCCTTTCCTGTTTCAGCATGACAATGCCCCCGTACACTAATTATGGTCCATACAGAAATGGTTAGTCGAGATCGGTGTGGAAGAACTTGACTGGCCTGCACAGAGCCCTGACCTCAACCCCATCGAACACCTTTGGGATGAATTAGAACGCTAACTGCGAGCCAGGGCTAATCGCCCAACATCAGTGCCCGACCTCACTAATGCTCTTGTGGCTGAATGGAAGCAAGTCCCCGCAGCAATGTTCCAACATCTAGTGGAAAACCTTCCCAGAAGATTGGAGGCTGTTATAGCAGCATATAACTCCATATAATGCCCATAATTTTGGAATGAGATGTTCGACGAGTGTCCACATACGTTTGGTCATGTAGTGTATCTAAACACTAACAAGAGAGATGCCTTATCACACGAACCCATGAACACAAATTTAGTGGAAATACTATATTCAGTGCAAATGTAATCCTTACTTTTATAATAAATGTAATTGTATTATATATAATTATAGAACCTGTGTCAATCGATGAGTAACACTTCAAGAGCATCATGTTCAAGTAGAGTACCTGTGTTCACGGAGGTGGAACCCAAATCAATCAGCCTTGAGGACAGCCATTTCACCAAGGGGAAAACAGACCCAGGGATTTCAATCAGGTAATGGAATGACGTGATGTGAATCAACAGCCTGGATCAGTGATCAGCCAGCACTTCCTAGGTGTTACTGGCATGGAAATAAACTAGTCACATGAGCCAGATATATGTCATGCTTTGGGATGCGATACCTCTCCAAGCTGTCAGGTAATGCATTGAAAACCATCTGTTGATTAAAAAAACTCCTGGCCACTCAATTCTATTTATATTCCAAATCTCTAAGGGTCATACTGGGCATTTGTCGTAATAGAATTTGGGTCTCTTTTGTCGTTGAATAAAAAATGATATGTAACTCACTTCTGTGGATGAGGATGTCATTGTTTTGTACAGTATGTTCAAGTGAAGTCATAGTGTATAATCCATCGTATTACCTCAAGGCAAATTGAGTTCCTGCACTGAATGATTTCAGCACTTGTACTTCATCTTTATCCATACTTATGCTCACAAGGCAGATGTGGCTGTGAGTGAAGTGGAAGACTCAGTTCAGTAGAGCGGATTGCTGTCAAACACTTTCACCTACAGTCGTGGTCAAACGTTTTGAGAATGACACAAATATTAATTTTCATAAAGTCTGCTGCCTCAGTTTTTATGATGGCAATTTGCATATACTCTAGAATGTTATGAAGAGTGATCAGATGAATTGCAATTAATTGCAAAGTCCCTCTTTGCCATGAAAATGAACTTAATCCCAAAAAAACATTGCCACTGCATTTCAGCCCTGCCACAAAAGGACCAGCTGACATCATGTCAGTGATTCTCTCGTTAACACAGGTGAGAGTGTTGACGAGGACAAGGCTGGAGATCACTCTGTCATGCTGATTGAGTTAGAATAACAGACTGGAAGCTTTAAAAGGAGGGTGGTGCTTGAAATCATTGTTCTTCCTCTGTTAACCATGGTTACCTGCATGGAAACACGTGCCGTCATCATTGCTTTGCACAAAAAGGGCTTCACAGGCAAGAATATTGCTGCTAGTAAGATTGCACCTAAAGGAGAGACGTTCAATTTTTGTGAAGAAGGCTTCAGGGGGCGCCCAAGAAAGTCCAGCAAGCGCCAGGACCGTCTCCTAAAGTTGATTCAGCTGCGGGATCGGGGCACCATCAGTGCAGAGCTTGCTCAGGAATGGCAGCAGGCAGGTGTGAGTGCATCTGCACGCACAGTGAGGCAAAGACTTTTGGAGGATGGCCTGGTGTCAAGAAGGGCAGCGAGGAAGCCACTTCTCTCCAGGAAAAACATCAGGGACAGACTGATATTCTGCAAAAGGTACAGGGATTGGACTGCTGGGGACTGGGGTAATGTCATTTTCTATGATGAATACCCTTTCCGATTGTTTGGGGCATCCGGAAAAAAGCTTGTCCGGAGAAGACAAGGTGAGCGCTACCATCAGTCCTGTGTCATGCCAACAGTAAAGCATCCTGAGACCATTCATGTGTGGGGTTGCTTCTCAGCCAAGGGAGTGGGCTCACTCACAATTCTGCCTAAGAACACAGCCAACCATCCAAGAACAGTTTGGTGACGAACAATGCCTTTTCCAGCATGATGGAGCACCTTGCCATAAGGCAAAAGTGATAACTAAGTGGCTCGGGGAACAAAACATCGACATTTTGGGTCCATGGCCAGGAAACTCCGCAGACCTTAATCCCATTGAGAACTTGTGGTCAATCCTCAAGAGGCTGGTGGACAAACAAAAACCACAAATTCTGACAAACTCCAAGCATTGATTATGCAAGAATGGGCTGCCATCAGTCAGGATGTGGCCCAGAAGTTAATTGACAGCATGCCAGGGCGGATTGCAGAGGTCTTGAAAAAGAAGGGTCAACACTGCAAATATTGACTCTTTGCATAAACTTTAATGTAATTGTCAATAAAAGCCTTTGACACTTATGGAATGCTTGTAATTATACTTCCGTATACCATAGTAACATCTGACAAAAATATCTAAAAACACTGAAGCAGCAAACTTTGTGAAGACCAATACTTGTGTCATTCTCAAAACTTTTGACCACGACTGTACAGTGTAACGTGACCTGACCTAGGTTGTGTTTAGACAGGCAGCCCAATTCTGATCTTTTTTCCACTAATTGGTCTTTTGACCAATCACATCAGATTTTTGTCAGAGCTGATCTGATTGGTCAAAAAAACAATTAGTGAAAAAATAATTCTGAATTGGACTGCCTGTCTAAACGCAGTCCTAGTGTATAAGGTTGACTGGTCAACTTGAACTCAAACTAGAACATCCCTGCCTTTATTCACTGGAATTTGCACACACCTTGGCTTTCTCATAGGTCAAAGCATACAGAGTGAATCTAAAAACTCTCACAAATTTAGAATTAAGGTATTTTTTGGGGGGGGTTATGTGTCAAGGCCATTTCAGATCACTAGTTGACTTACTCCAAATCAGACCTTCCAAACAGCATGCAGTAATATTGATGGGAAAATACACATGTTCAAATAAATGTATTAAGTTTGAGTTTTATACTTTCATAGTAAATGTACATATACAAGATACAGTGCTCTCCACTAATATTGGCACCCTTGGTAAATATGAGCAAAACGGGTTGTGAATTTGTATTTATTTATTATTTATCCTCTTGGTCTTTCATTCAAAATATTCACAAAAATCTAACCTTTAATTAAAGTAAAATAATTGAAAGAAAAAATAAATTATTATCATAAAACAAATATTTTTCTCAAATATACGTGAGCCAGAATTATTGGCACCCCTTCATTCAATACTTTGTGCAACCTCCATTTGCCAAGATAACAGTTTGAAGTCTTCTCCTATAATGCGTAATGAGGTTGGAGAACACATGGCAAGGGATCTGAGACCATTCCTCCATACATCTCTAGACCCTTCAGATTCCAAGGTCCACGCTTATGGACTCTCCTCTTCAGCTCATCCCACTGGTTTTCAATGGGGTTTAGGTCAGGGATGGCCATGGCAAAACCTTGATTCTGTGGTCAGTGAACCATTTTTGTGTTGATGTTGAGGTGTGCTTTGGATCATTGTCCTGCTGGAAGATCCAACCACGGCCCAGTTTAAGCTTCCTAGCAGAGGCAGTTAGGTTTTGATTTTATATCTGCTGGTACTTGATGGAGTCCATGATACCATGTATCCTAACAAGTTGTCCAGGGCCTTTGGAAGAAAAACGGCCCCACAACATTAAAGATCCACCACCATACTTCACAGTGGGGATGAGGTACTTTTCTGCATGGCTATCTTTCTGTGTATGCCAGACCCACCTCTGGTGTTTGTTTCCAAAAAGCTATATTTTGGTCTCATCTGACCATAGAACACGGTCCCATTGAAAGTTCCAGTAACGTTTGGCAAACTGTAGGCTCTTGAGTTTGGTGTTTGATGACAGCAAAGGAGTTTTTATGGCAACCCTCCCAAACAACGTCTGCAACTGTGATCCTTGGAGATTTTTTGGCCACTATAACCATCCTCCTCACTGTGCGTGGGGTCAATATAGACACACGTCCTCTTCCAGGCCGTTTGTTAACATCTCCAGTTACTTTAATCTTCGTAATTATTGCCCTGATAGTGGAAATGGGCATTTTCAACCATTGAGCTATTTTCTTATAGCCATTTCCTGATTTGTGCAGCTCAACAACCTTTTGTCGCTCATCATTACTGTATTCTCGGGTCTTTCCCATTGTGATGGATGACTATGGGAGCTTGGCCTCAGGTGAACTTAAAAACGTAAAATATGAATGGGAATATACTTCAGTTAGATTTTACTCATAAGAATTTTAGGGGTGCCAATAATTGTGGCACACATGTTTCGGAGAAAAATATTTATTTCATTTATTTCATATATATTTTTTCCAATCATTTTACTTAAATTAAAGGTTAGATTTTTGTGAATATTTTGAATGAAAGACCAAGAGCATAAACAGCAAAGACATTTTTTTCACAGCCCATTTTTTTTTCATATTTACCAAGGGTGCCAATATTAGTGGAGGGCACTGTACATAATAAACAGTAATACTTCAGCTCTAAAGACCAATAACAAAATGTTGTTTTGCAGTGCCATGTTTCCTTACACTGCTTCACGGATTTCTGCCACAAACAAAACTGATTGAGTGACTTTTTAAACACATTTATTCAGAGCTAAGTAAAATTAGTAACAAGAGTTGTAGCAGAGTAGAAATGTTCAACAAGAGATTTCAAAATATTTTGCAGATACTGATACTTTTAAATTAAGCAAAAGGTATTATAGATAAATAGGCATAGCAAATTAGATGTGAACAAATTAATTGTTGGTATTGTATAAAGGAAATATAGTTTAATTTTTATAACAATAAATATAGCTCCTATAAATTTTCTCCTTTGAGAAAAAGTTATATTGCAATTGTTTCTATAGCCATGTATTTTTCCCTTTAGCAGACACCTTCAAGTATTAGTTAAGCTTCATCTTATTATTGAGTGGACAATCATTCCTGGGCACACACAATGGCCCCATGACAAACAACTCAAATAAAATGATACACAAGCATTTACTTTGCAGCTTTAAAATATTGATATACTGCAATAACTGCAACTATTTCAACTTTGGCAGTATGACTATGACAACAAATATTATGATTTAAACTAAAGCCAGGATTATATTTTCTTCTTGAACATTGTTTCAATACTATCTATTTATATGCATGACAGTATTCTACAACGTAAGTCAGTCGTTTTTTACTAAGCAAATGCTCAATGCAATGCTTGCTCTTTGTACAAGAATACATTTCCAACCATAAATAATATAAAAATGCTATTTTCAACTAATCTCTTTACTGGTAGTAACACAATTGCAAAATATTCCAAGCTTAAAGACTATTGCAAATAGCTGAAATCATAATACAATACATTGAATGCTTTACCACAGATACTGTATATTTTATTTGCCTTTAGAGCATTTTCAAATGTAGCTCTTTCCTGCAGTCAAATGACCTAGTGGCCTCATAGGTGAAATGTTATTAATATTTTTCATAATTTCATAATTAATAAAGATTTTTATTTTTTTTACGCCTAAAATCTGGTGTGTCTATGTCAAACGGTTTTGTTATATTTCAGTCTTCTGTGATGTAAGTGTAATATTGGGATGCAAACTCAAAACTTAATACATTTTAACTCTCTATCTGACATGGTACAGGTCTTCCTTTTTTTAAGCCCATAACCAGGTGTATACTTTTGTTTCAAAGTAGATTTGTTTACGACTACCAAGAAACACTCTATGTGACCCTGATTTAGCCCACTGCAGTAAAACGTTAATCAGATGCTGTATATTTCATAAAAGTGAATTAATTAAAGCTGCATGCATACAGTACATTTTGACTTTGCCTATATTGTAGATATATGAATTCATCAATTGTATATACTGACGCACAGTACATAGTCTTTAACTGCAGTATTGTACAAACTTTTTAATCGATTGTTTATCTGGTTGGATAATTTATCAATTTCAAAACAACTGCAATATTATGATTTTGAAAAAATACAAAAACATACAAAATACATACAATAAATTCAAAAACAAACTTAACTTGAAAATAGTTTCTTAAAGTCACAGATACATCCTCGACAGAAACATTCCATTGCTTTCACATTCAGTCAAACTAACCTCTCCTATATCTTGCTGGTATTACATGACATTTAAAAACACAAAAACAACTGAAAAGAAGCTTACATTTCTTTAGATTGCCTCACAAAGAAGCAGCTTCTGACACATAAACTAAAAACACTGTTTAACGCTTTTGAACACACAAAGATTTACAAGACAAAACGTAAAGGAATGGTAAACTGTGGCACACAATATTGATTTGTTTAAAACACAGTGAAGGGGGAAATGTCATAGACTTGTCTCCCTGTCGAAGCAGCCCTTCTGCATCTTTCTCCTCTTCTTCTGTTTCCTTCCACTGTTCTTGAATAAGCTGTGGGTATAAACACTGGCTATTAGTGCTTTCAAGTATACAACTTCAGAACATAGCTTATAACTATCAGCTGTCCAGCTCCAACAATGGAGGTTCTCCATTTAGAATTATTTTTAGTCCAGGATTAGACTTAATCTGTGTCCGGGAAACTGCCCCCAAATGTATCATCAACTGATGTTTTAGTTGGGAGGGGCTTTACATGAACATTAACACCATATTTGATATGCTTTAGTAAATCGCATGGTAATCCCCTCCCATACAGAATCGCACTGTAGGTTCCAGGCAGCTGAGAGGTACAGTGGGGGGAAAAAGTATTTAGTCAGCCACCAATTGTGCATGTTCTCCCACTTAAAAAGATGAGAGAGGCCTGTAATTTTCATCATAGGTACACGTCAACTATGACAGACAAATTGAGAAAAAGAAATCCAGAAAATCACATTGTAGGATTTTTAATGAATTTATTTGCAAATTATGGTGGAAAATAAGTATTTGGTCACTTACAAACAAGCAAGATTTCTGGCTCTCACAGACCTGTAACTTCTTCTTTAAGAGGCTCCTCTGTCCTCCACTCGTTACCTGTATTAATGGCACCTGTTTTAACTTGTTATCAGTATAAAAGACACCTGTCCACAACCTCAAACAGTCACACACCAAACTCCACTATGGCCAAGACCAAAGAGCTGTCAAAGGACACCAGAAACAAAATTGTAGACCTGCACCAGGCTGGGAAGACTGAATCTGCAATAGGTAAGCAGCTTGGTTTGAAGAAATCAACTGTGGGAGCAATTATTAGGAAATGGAAGACATACAAGACCACTGATAATCTCCCTCGATCTGGGACTCCACGCAAGATCTCACCCCGTGGGGTCAAAATGATCACAAGAACGGTGAGCAAAAATCCCAGAACCACACGGGGGGACCTAGTGAATGACCTGCAGAGAGCTGGGACCAAAGTAACAAAGCCTACCATCAGTAACACACTACGCCGCCAGGGACTCAAATCCTGCAGTGCCAGACGTGTCCCCCTGCTTAAGCCAGTACATGTCCAGGCCCGTCTGAAGTTTGCTAGAGTGCATTTGGATGATCCAGAAGAGGATTGGGAGAATGTCATATGGTCAGATGAAACCAAAATATAACTTTTTGTTAAAAACTCAACTCGTCATGTTTGGAGGACAAAGAATGCTGAGTTGCATCCAAAGAACACCATACCTACTGTGAAGCATGGGGGTGGAAACATCATGCTTTGGGGCTGTTTTTCTGCAAAGGGACCAGGACGACTGATCCGTGTAAATGAAAGAATGAATGGGGCCATGTATCGTGAGATTTTGAGTGAAAACCTCCTTCCATCAGCAAGGGCATTGAAGATGAAACGTGGCTGGGTCTTTCAGCATGACAATGATCCCAAACACACCGCCCGGGCAACGAAGGAGTGGCTTCGTAAGAAGCATTTCAAGGTCCTGGAGTGGCCTAGCCAGTCTCCAGATCTCAACCCCATAGAAAATCTTTGGAGGGAGTTGAAAGTCTGTGTTGCCCAGCGACAGCCCCAAAACATCACTGCTCTAGAGGAGATCTGCATGGAGGAATGGACCAAAATACCAGCAACAGTGTGTGAAAACCTTGTGAAGACTTACAGAAAACATTTGACCTGTGTCATTGCCAACAAAGGGTATATAACAAAGTATTGAGAAACTTTTGTTATTGACCAAATACTTATTTTCCACCATAATTTGCAAATAAATTCATTAAAAATCCTACAATGTGATTTTCTGGAAAACATTTTCTCATTTTGTCTGTCATAGTTGACGTGTACCTATGATGAAAATTACAGGCCTCTCTCATCTTTTTAAGTGGGAGAACTTGCCCAATTGGTGGCTGACTAAATACTTTTTTTCCCCACTGTATAATGGGATCAGAATCTCAGACAATGTTCATGAAAGAGCAGTTCTCACAACTGAGATGTACTAATATAATGACACTCTCCAGCTATTGCGTAATGGAGCCTGCAGCTAGTATGCTGTAGTGCTCCTTGCCGAACTGCCCTTCACGGCCATTGGCTGAGGCATAGTAGATTGGGTAGAAGGATGATTGTCATGCTAGCAGAACCTGATTGGTACAGCAGCATCATGCAGTCAGAGATGGCTCCTACATGCACTTTTCATCCTTGCTTTCTCAGTCATGTCACTTTAGACTGAGCAAATTCATTCGTCACTGCCTGTAATATGCTGGGTTTATATTCCAAGCAGTGAAAAGGTAATGGACTTCGCATCCATAATATTTATCTTTGCCTAACATTAGCAGTCATCAAAGAGTTTTAAAGAGCTGTGCTCTCCCAGTGTTCAACTCGAAAATGCATAATGTCGAGGCCATGACAATTTGAAGGATGCTAAATAAGCAGCATCTAATTTCAACCCAATGGTAAATTGAGGAATTAGACCTTGTACAATCCTGCCTCATATCATGCAAAGATAAACACAATTATTTTATTCCAAAAAGTGATGGTCACCAAATGGAGTAAGGAGGAGTAAATGGCACGGGGATCAGACTCTTACCTCTGGGGGGTTCAGCATCTAAGAGGATATAAGGGAGTTTATGACAGAGATGGAATGGGAAAATACAGTCAAGAAACTCATCAGCTCTAAAATGGAGAGACAACTCCTTTATACAGTGAATAAGTAGCATCTAGTTTCAACTGAATGATACATCTGCAATTTCGTTCATATACAGTAGCAATGACATATCAATATCCTGAAAATTCTCTATATGAGCATGGAACTTGGTCAATATGAGGCATTTTATGAATTCAATGGTACATTGTCATCAGTTTCCATTATAATGGTTATAACACAATGTCTATTCAGTATAGGAGGAATCCTAACTTGAGATAGTCTCAACAAACTCCATATTTTCACAAGGATTGATGCCATGGGGAAATTTGCAAGAAAGTTTGAGTTACATGCACATATCTTAAATTAAGACACATTTTTACACAAACTGACAGAAGAAAAACAAAGTGACGTTTTAAATACAAAAATGTATCAACTCCAATGTGCTGATTTTGGGTATACATGTTTGAGGCAATGCGATACCTTTTTGAGTCTAGCTCTTTTTTAGAGTTGTTGGAGTTGACATTCCACGTGTTTCCAAAAGAGCCTTTGGACATTTCATCCGTGATGTTGAGTGCGGATTCACTCCTAAAAAAACAACATATTCATGCATAATAATACACAACAAACAGTCAACTATTTTACAACCAATGAAGCTTGAAGTCTTTTTACAGTATAAAAAGGGAGATATAATGTTATCATAATAGCCTAACTTACTTTTGATATCCTTCTAATGGCAATTGCACTACTCCCTCTTCCTCTCCCAACATGCTTTGCGCCTCCTCCTGATGAATACGAGAATCAACAGGAAGCGTTTAAACTATAGTGTTAGTACTGTATATAATGAATTGGTTCAAACACATGCAGAAATAAACCATTACAATAAAAGTTACATATCTACAATAAAAAGGAACATTATTTTGAATTCTTGACATAGCCTTGTTCTGTTCAATGTTCTCTACCTATATAGTACTCTAAATAACCAAATTCATGTTGTTAGTTCAAAAGAATACAAGATAAAAATCGATGACACCATTCAAACCAATGAGGGTTTGGAACTTTAAAGCCAATTATTTCCTAATCATCTTTTTGCAGATAGAATCTTATAGTCCCAAGATCTCGCTTTGTTATGTAGATGCTATTTTCATACCTCTTCTTCAGCATCCTTCAGTTTCTTCTTCTTACTCTCTGGCATGAGATCATCCAGCCAGCTCATCTCTCTCTTGGTGAAGAAGCAATCCATCAGCTTCCTAATGAACACCAGAGCCAACACCTGCAAGGAACACAAACACACTGCATTACTACTATTGTTTGAACATTCATTTTGGACTGATGCCTGACTGAGCATTCTACTCAATGCATCATCAATGAGCGCTGATGAACATTTAATCAAAAGTGCATTACAGTGGCTTGGAAATACAACCACATTCAAAAGGAGGCAAATAATTAGTACGAAAACCTTTTGTCATAATTTTGATGTCACCTGATTGACTTTAGATGCAGTATAACGTTAGTTAGCTAGGTTAGAATGAGGGGAGGCCACCGGATTTTAGCTAGCTAACGTTAGCATTGCTAGCTATTTTTGACGAACTTTGCTAGCTAATGACAACATTGCCATCTGTCTAAAGTACATTTGACGACATGATAATGCTGGCAAAGTTGTTTCCTACTAAATATTTGACTACTTGATCAATGTCATCGTATTTACATGTAATTTAAACGAAACAGAGGGCGGCTTGAAAACGTTCATAACAATGGCATGATGGAGGTGCAACCTATGATACTCTGACAAAATTATCTGCATAAATAATACTTGTCCCAGCGAGAACGGCCCATAGGGCAGGAGCCTATCTTCTGTTTCTGGTGCGCATCTATGCAGCTTGATGTACAAGTACACCCACTGGACAGGACGCATTGTTATGTATAACTTAATACAATGGCTATACTGCACATCTCATAGTGGTGCTAATTGTGTAAAACTACAATGTGGCCAAATAAATCTACATGTAGCCGGAATGTCTTGTATGAAATTTAGCCTATAACCCAGGGAGAAAGCTAGGAGAAAGGCATTTGCGAACCATCATGGGGAAGACGATGGCATAATTGGAGGTCTTGATGACCCAGAGCATGACCAGGCAGCTGAGCTGGATGATGGTGAAGAGGTGGACCTTCCTCATGGGAACGTATCTCAGGTAGATGAAGTCTGGCTGGTGCTTGGCTGGCATGCCAAACAGCTTCAGACGGTCAAAGAACTGATGAGCAATAGAACAAAGGCTTACATTACAACCTCAGGAGCATTAGATTCAGGCCAACTGTGTTGAGATAAGTCTACATTTTCTCACATGGTCTTTTTGAACTTCGCTTTAGATGTAAGCCAAGTGTGCTAGGCCTTAGCCTTACAAGCCTATTTTGACTGAGAGTGTACAGAAACTTTATCAGAGTGTGCTTAGTGATATCTTACCTGTATTCCTCTAAGCGAAGATGCTCCCATGTACAGGAATACTCCATACAAGACAGGCATGGGAATATACTGAAGGGACGAGAGCAATCATATTATGTTTAAGTTATACAAGCATCAATAAAGACAGGAAACCGTCAAAAAAGTGGGATAGAACCATATAAAAGGTAATGGTGTAAATTATCTGTTCACTTTGAGGCACTGCAGACTAATACTCTGGGTGCAAAATAAATACAACTTGTGCAAGACAGAGACACTTATATTACAGGGTGATAGAAACCGCCTTTGGACAGTCCGGAGGCTAGAGCCAACACAATGTGTGCTCAGAGAACCTATCTGACCTTGAGCACAGAGGTCATGAAGACGGAGCAGCCCATGAGCAGGAAGATCATGAGGCCGGTGAAGCGCTGCTCCCGGATCCCCAGGAACTTGGGCTGTTCCCCGGGGGCCGAGCACTCCGACTCCAGCTTCAGACTGTTGACGTGGGAGATGGAGAGCACGGTAGCAGCCACGAACCAGGGCAGCCCCATGATGGAGCACACCCCCAGCATGATGCCCACCACAAACAGATCCAGGTGGTACCCACAGCCTTTCTGTGGGGAGGGAAAGACAATAAAGTCCAACTGAGAATACACTACTCAATACTTAGGAACGGCCATGACCGAGTTTGGAAACCCTGGCCTACAGTACCTTTAGTTTGTGCTCCTTCCTGTTGATGATGACTGCGGTGATCTGTTGGTCCATAAAGATTAGGATAGTGCAGAGCAGAGCAGGGATCACTGTTACTAAGGTGGTCCACCAAGGGTTTCCGCCTAACGGGCTGATCAACCAACCACGGTCATCTCTGGTCGGCTGCAAGAATTTAGGTTATTGGTAAATATTGTATCTACATAGTATGCACATGTCTATAGTGTAGAGTATTTTGAGTAAAAATGTATAATCACGTTGTAATATTTTGTTATCTAGCTCACCTTAAACACACTGGGGACTTTTAGTTTTGGAGATGGGACCCCTAAGGCATAGTCCATCAGGACCATGGTAAAGATGGTGATGAACACAGCAAAGTCACTGATGACAGCTCTCAACTGTGCAAGAGAGGGGTGCATGTCAATTGTCTGGTCTTAGCACAGGAATAATCTATATTATTGTTTAATATCAAACTACTATGTCAGTCACAGATTACAGAGGAAAATCAAACACTGAGCACCTTGGTTGTGGATTTAATTCTCACATGGGCCACTCATTTTGCTTGAAGAAAAAAGGGGGTTCTGTGCTCAAACAACGGGAGAAAAAGTGCTGCCTTAAACCATAATAGAATCCCAAAGAAAGTGGTGTGACACTCTTCTCCATTAGAAACTATTTTATTACACGTTTTAATGTAAACCACCACAATCAGACAGTATTCACATATGACCACTAGAGTGCTCCACTGCACCATAAAACTCAGCAGAATGACAGAAACCCTGTCTGCAGTCTACAAACACATAATAGATACAAATGAGTGGGATTATAGTAGGATCTGGGTCTGCTGCCTTACCTTGGTGGGGAAATAACGGCTGAACTTGAACTCTTTGAGGAAAGCCGACATGAAGACAGTGGAGAAAAAGAGAACGACAGACCAGAAGAGAACATCTGGAATGTAGGGTCCATGAAGGCCACAGGCGCTGCCCACAAATTCCCCTCGCCTCTTTATGCAGTCCTGCAACAACAGGTGGAGGAGGGTATTTAGTCTGTTATACTGCATGTGGGGTTAATACTGTATGTATGACAACAAGTCATTCAAAACATGCTGTGTTACAGGGTTGGGGTCAATCCATTTCAATTCAGTCAATTAACTGAAATTACAATTACATTTTTTTCTCAGAGCATTGAGGGAAATTGAAATTGGAACATCCTAAATTTAAATGGAATTGACCCCATCAATGCTGGGGTTATAGGGTCCTGCTAGGATAAGAGCATCCTTGTCGACAAAAAGGTAAATTAATACTAAAAATGTGTTTTTCTGATTTGGCATGGCGTAATCCATCCACATGTCCTTCATCTCCTACACTGGGCCAGCTCCATCTGGGAGAGTATGCCACTTTGTGTGGAACAACCTAAATGTGCTATTTTCTGGTCTCTACTGCCATTCATTAAAATAAAAAATACAATACAACATTTTCTTTTGTGTATAGGGTAAAACGTTTATCCTCAACATATGACAAAACCTGGAAAAACCATGGGACTAACTCTGGGTTCTATTTATGTATGCATCATTTTCCTAATTTTGCTTGGTCCTATGCACAAATTAAGCCACACACTCTCATACAGTACCTTGACCTCAAGTGCCTCCCAATAGATCTCCGAAGCAGTGATGTTGTTCTGCTCCCAGTACCGTAGGGTGGCATTGCTGGGATCCGGAGGTTCAACACATGAACACCTATGGAAACAACAGAACACATCACCATCAAATCCCTTACTGATTACGATCATCTCAAATGATTTGTGGGATTTCTTTCAAACACAATTTAAGATATTGCTGTCATTCTGAACTCTAAGGGACGGTTTGCTCGACACAGATTATTACTAGTTCTGGATTAAGATGCATGTTAAGAGACCAAGAAGATCATCAAGGACCTCAGCCACCTGAGCCACGGTCTGTTCACTCTACCTTCTAGCAGAGAGAGATGCATCAAAGGTGCATCAAAGAAAGACAGAAAAACAGCTTCTATCTCCAGGCCATCAGACTGTTGAATAGCCATCCCTAGCCACCGGGTACTCTGCCCTGCAGTTTGAGACTAATGTGCCATGTACACTACCAGTCAAAAGTTTGGACACTGTCACGGTTTCGGCCGAGGCTGCCTCTCTTCCTTTCTCGGGCAGGCTTCGGCGTTCGTCGTCTCCGGAATACTAGCTGCCACCGTTGCATGTTTCTATGTTCGTTTGCTTTTGTCTGATTGTTGTTACACCTGTTATCGTTTAGTGTAATTAGTGTCCTATAAGTTCTCGTTGTGTTTGTCTAGTGTTGTGTGTGATTGTTTTCACTGTCGTGCGCTTAGCTTTTGTATGTACAGTTTGCTCGGTTGAGCTGCTCTCCATTCTGTGTTTTTGGAGTATTTTGTCGCACGTATTTTGTGCGCCCGCTTTATTTCGCCTGTGTGCGGAGTTTCTCGCCTCAGGGCGTTTGTTTTCGTGCTGTGTTTTGTTGCCAAACAACTAAAGTCTTTTAGACTTACTTTGTGCGTCCTGCGCCTGATTCCACCACCACACCCACCTACAGCTACACTGACAGAATCACACACCCTACTCGATGGAGTCAGCAGGAGCCGCAGCAGCACAGGCGACGTTGGAGGACAGGATCCGCGAACAAAATGACCAGATCCTGCGGATGGGGTCCGCACTGCAGGAGGTGATCACCACCATCCGAGGCTGGGAGACCCGAGGGACTCCTCCACCGCCATCCTCCCTGCCCGCACCATCGGCAGGTCAGCCCATTCCCGCTCCGGAACCCAGAGGAGTTCGGCTCTCGCTCCCGAGGGCCTACGATGGGACCGCGGCCGGGTGTCAGGGATTCCTTCTCCAGGTGGAGCTTTACCTGGCCACCGTGCACCCGGCGCCCTCGGGACACGAGAGCGTGTCCGCCCTGATCTCCTGCCTTTCCGGGAAGGCGTTGGAATGGGCCAACGCAGAGTGGAGGAGAATCGACGCGAACACCATCACCTACGACGAGTTCTCCCGCCGCTTCAGGGTGGTGTTTGACCATCCCCCGGAGGGGAAAGCGGCGGGGGAGCGTCTGGTCTGCCTCCGGCAGGGGAAGAGGAGTGCCCAGGAGTTCGCCTTGGAATTCCGTACTCTAGCGGCGGATGCAGGGTGGAATGAGCGGGCTCTCATCGATCACTACCGATGTAGTCTACGCGAGGACGTCCGTAGGGAGCTGGCCTGTAGGGACACCAGCCTCTCGTTCGACCAGTTGGTCGACATGTCCATCAGGCTGGATACCCTGCTAGCTACCCGCGGACGTCCCGAGGGGGGTCCGTCCATTTCACCCTCCAGCGCCTCCGAGCCGTGCCCCATGGAGCTCGGGGGCGCTGGCGCTAGAGAGAGGAGGGGTCGGCTTACGAGGGGGTCCATCTCCTGCACCAACTGTGGTCGGGGAGGACACACCGCGGCTAGGTGCTGGGGATGGCCTCCTAGGGGAGAGGACGACAGGTCCCGCACTGGGGAGTCCTTCCAGGTGAGTAGGCGCCCCACTCACCCAGAGCTCTCTGTTGCACATTTCTGTATACCTGTGCGTTTTCCACAGGTAGCACCTCATTCCCAGCATAAGGCGCTGGTAGATTCAGGCGCGGCTGGGAATTTTGTTGATAAGAAGTTTTGCTTAGCCTTAGGGATTCCCCTTCTCCCTGTTGACGTTCCCTTCCCCGTTCATGCCCTAGATAGCCGTCCATTGGGTACGGGCTTGATCAGGGAGGTCACTGCGCCACTTAGGATGTGTGCGCAGGGGGGTCATCAGGAGATGATCCAGCTATTTCTGATCGACTCGCCTGCGTATCCGGTGGTGCTGGGCATGCCCTGGTTGAGTACCCATAACCCATCTATTTCGTGGCAGGAGAGGGCTCTGATGGAGTGGTCTGCCCAGTGTGTGGGTCGATGTTTAGGCGTTTCCGTAGGGGCTACCTCGGTGGAGAGTCCAAACCAGGTGCCCGCATTGCACGTTCCCCCTGAGTATGGGGATTTGGCTATTGTGTTCAGTAAGTCGAGGGCGACGCAGTTGCCTCCCCATAGGCAGGGAGATTGTGCGATAGACCTCCAGGCAGGAGCTGCGCTCCCACGGAGCCATGTGTATCCTCTGTCTCAGGAGGAGAAGAGAGCTATGGAGACGTATATAGACGAATCTCTGAGACAAGGATACATACGGCCCTCCATTTCCCCTGCGTCCTCGAGTTTCTTTTTTGTGAAGAAAAAGGATGGAGGATTACGCCCGTGCATTGATTACCGTGGTCTCAATCAGATCACGGTGAAGTACAGTTATCCACTCCCGCTGATTGCGACCATGACGGAGTCATTGCACGGGGCGCGTTTCTTCACTAAATTAGATCTCAGGAGTGCGTACAACTTGGTGCGCATTAGGGGGGGCGATGAATGGAAGACAGCCTTTAGTACCACCTCGGGCCATTACGAGTATCTTGTCTTGCCATACGGGTTGATGAACGCTCCTTCAGTTTTCCAATCCTTCGTGGATGAGATCTTCAGGGACATGCAGGGGCAGGGGGTGGTCGTGTACATCGATGACATTCTCGTGTACTCGCCTACCCGAGTCGAGCATGTGGCCCTGGTGCGCCGAGTGTTGCGGAGACTGTTGGAGCACGACCTGTATGTCAAGGCAGAGAAGTGTCTGTTCTTCCAGGAGTCTGTCTCCTTTTTGGGTTATCAGTTGTCTGCGTCAGGGGTGAAGATGGAGGTAGACCGGGTGTCAGCCGTGCGTAATTGGCAAACGTCAACCACTGTGAAGGAGGTGCAGCAGTTTTTGGGGTTTGCGAATTATTACCGGAGGTTTATCCGGGGTTTTGGACAGGTGGCAGCTCCCATAACGTCTCTTTTGAAGGGGGGTCCGGTGCGTCTGCAGTGGTCAGCCGAGGCGGACAGGGCGTTTGGGAGGCTGAAGGACCTGTTTACCTCGGCTCCGGTGCTGGCGCATCCGGATCCCTCTTTGCCATTTCAGGTAGAGGTGGACGCGTCAGAGGCCGGTATAGGAGCCGTGCTGTCGCAACGGTCCGGCGCGCCACCTAAACTCCGCCCCTGTGCTTTTTATTCCAAGAAGCTCAGTCCGGCGGAGCGAAACTATGACGTGGGGGACAGGGAGCTGTTAGCCGTGGTACAGGCCCTAAAGGTGTGGAGGCACTGGCTTGAGGGGGCTCAACACCCTTTCCTCATTTTGACGGACCACCGTAACCTGGAGTACATCCGGGCAGCGAGGAGGCTGAACCCTCGCCAGGCGAGGTGGAATATGTTTTTGACCCGGTTCACATTTAAGATCACGTACATCCCTGGGTCACAGAACGGTAAGGCAGACGCACTGTCTCGGCGGTATGACACGGAGGAGAGGTCCGTGGAGCCCACTCCCATACTGCCGGAGTCGTGTCTGGTGGCACCGGTAGTGTGGGAGGTTGATGATGAACTCGAGCGGACGTTCCGCTCGAGGTTCGGGATCGATTGATCTATTGGGCTCACACGTCACCCTCCTCTGGACACCCTGGTATCGGCCGGACAGTGCACTGTCTTAGTGCCAAGTACTGGTGGCCCACGTTGGCGAGGGATGTGAGGGTTTATGTTTCCTCCTGCTCGGTGTGCGCCCAGTGTAAGGCGCCTAGACATCTGCCTAGGGGTAAGTTACTACCCCTGCCCGTTCCACAACGACCATGGTCTCACCTCTCGGTGGATTTCCTCACTGACCTTCCTCCTTCACAGGGGAATACCACTATACTGGTCGTTGTGGACCGGTTTTCTAAGGCCTGTCGTTTGCTCCCTATGCCGGGCCTTCCTACTGCCCTGCAAACCGCCGAAGCACTATTCACCCATGTGTTCCGGCACTACGGGGTACCCGAGGATATTGTGTCTGATCGAGGTCCCCAATTTACCTCCAGAGTCTGGAGAGCTTTTATGGAGCGGTTGGGGGTCTCGGTGAGCCTCACCTCGGGTTACCACCCGGAGAGTAATGGGCAGGTGGAACGCGTGAACCAGGATGTGGGGAGGTTTCTTAGAACATACTGCCAGGACCGGCCGGAGGAGTGGGCAAGGTACGTTCCCTGGGCCGAAATGGCCCAGAATTCCCTACGCCATTCCTCCACTAACCTAACCCCTTTCCAATGTGTGTTAGGTTACCAGCCGGTTCTGGCACCTTGGCAGCAGAGCCAGATCGAGGCTCCTGCGGTGGATGAGTGGGCGTGGCGCTCGGAGGAGACATGGAACGCTGCACACGTCCACCTGCAGCGGGCCCTCCGTCGTCATAAGGCGAGCGCCGATCTCCACCGCAGTGAGGGACCGGTGTACGCACCTGGTGATCGAGTCTGACTCTCTACCAGAAACCTGCCCCTCCGCCTGCCCTGTCGGAAACTGGGTCGGCGGTTTGTAGGGCCATTTAAAGTCCTGAGAAGGTTGAACGAGGTGTGTTACAAATTACAACTACCCGTTGAGTATAAAAGTATTAACCCCTCGTTCCATGTGTCTCTTCTCAGGCCGGTGGTAGCTGGCCCACTCCAAGAAAGTGAGATCAGGGAGACTCCTCCGCCCCCATTGGACATCGAGGGGGCACCGGCGTACTCCGTGCGGTCCATCTTGGATTCGAGACGTCAGATGGGGGGTCTCCAATATCTAGTGGAGTGGGAGGGGTACGGCCCGGAGGAACGGTGCTGGGTGCCGAGGAGAGACATTTTGGACCCGTCTCTCCTGACGGAATTCCATCGTGGGCACCCGACGCACCCTGCTCCGCGTCCTCCTGGTCGTCCCCGAGGCCGGAGTCGGCGCACGTCTGGAGCCGCGCGTCAAGGGGGGGGTACTGTCACGGTTTCGGCCGAGGCTGCCTCTCTTCCTTGCTCAGGCAGGCCTCGGCGTTCGTCGTCTCCGGAATACTAGCTGCCACCGTTGCATGTTTCTATGTTCGTTTGCTTTTGTCTGATTGTTGTTACACCTGTTATCGTTTAGTGTAATTAGTGTCCTATAAGTTCTCGTTGTGTTTGTCTAGTGTTGTGTGTGATTGTTTTCACTGTCGTGCGCTTAGCTTTTGTATGTACAGTTTGCTCGGTTGAGCTGCTCTCCATTCTGTGTTTTTGGAGTATTTTGTCGCACGTATTTTGTGCGCCCGCTTTATTTCGCCTGTGTGCGGAGTTTCTCGCCTCAGGGCGTTTGTTTTCGTGCTGTGTTTTGTTGCCAAACAACTAAAGTCTTTTGGACTTACTTTGTGCGTCCTGCGCCTGATTCCACCACCACACCCACCTACAGCTACACTGACAGACACACCTACTCATTCAAGGGTTTTTCTTTATTTGTACTATTTTTTACATTGTAGAATAATAGTGAAGACATCAAAACTATGAAATAACACATATGGAATTATGTAGTAACCAAAAAAGTGTTAAACAAATCAAAAATATATTTGAGATTTGAGATTATTCAAAGTAGCCACCCTTTGCCTTGATGACAGCTTTGCACACTCCTGGCATTCTTTCAACCAGCTTCATGAGGTAGTCACCTAGAATGCATTTCAATTAACAGGTGTGCCTTCTTAAAAGTTATTAAAAGTTAATTTCTTTCCAGAAGATAGCCCTATTTGGTAAAAGACAAAGTCAATATTATGGCAAGAACAGCTCAAATAAGCCAAGAGAAACAACAGTCCATCTTTACTTTAAGACATGAAGGTCAGTCAATATTTGAAGAACTTTGAAATTTTCTACAAGTTCAGTCACAAAAACCATCAAGCGCTATGATGAAACTGGCTCTCATGAGGACCACCACAGGAATGGAAGACCCAGGGTTACCTCTGCTGCAGAGGATAAATTCATTAGAGTTACCAGCCTCAGAAATTGCAGCCCAAATAAATGCTTCACAGAGTTCAAGTCACAGACCCATCTCAACATCAACTGTTCAGAGGGTACTGTGTGAATCAGGCCTTCATGGTCGAATTGCTGCAAAGAAACCACTACTAAAGGACACCAATAAGAAGAAGAGACCTGCTTGGGCCAAGAAACACGAGCAATGGACATTAGACCGGTAGAAATGTGTCCTTTGGTCTGGAGTCCAAATTGGAAATTTTTGGTTCCAACCGCCGTGCCTTTCTGAGATGCGGTGTGAGTGAACGGATGATCTCCGCCTTTGTAGTTCCCACCGTAAAGCATGGAGGAGGAGGTGTTATGGTGTGGGGGTGCTTTGCTGATGACACTGTCTGTGATTTATTTAGAATTCAAGGCACACTTAACCAGCATGGCTACCACAGCATTCTGCAGCGATACGCCATCCCATCTGGTTTGGCCTTAGTGGGACTATCATTTGTTTTTCAAAAGGAGAATGACCCAACACACCTCCAGGCTGTGTAAGGGCTATTTTACCAAGAAGGACAGTGATGGAGTGCTGCATCAGATGACCTCCACAATCCCCCGACCTCAACCCAATTGAGATGGTTTGGGATGAGTCGGATGGCAGAGTTAAGGAAAAGCAGCCAACAAGTGCTCAGCATATGTGGAAACGCCTTCAAGACTACTGGAAAAGCATTCCAGGTGAAGCTGGTTGAGAGAACGCCAAGAGTGTGCAAAGCTGTCATCAAGGCAAAGGGTGGCTATTTGAAGAATCTCAAATATTGTCACGCCCTGACTCAGGGGACTCTTATATGTTGAGTCAGGGTGTGTGTATTCTTTGTTTGTATATATTCTATGTTGTAGTTCTATTATGTGTAGATCTATGTTGGCCGGTGTGGTTCCCAATCAGAGGCAGCTGTAGCTCGTTGTCTCTGATTGGGGATCATACTTAGGCAGCCTATTGGCACTAGTGGGTTGTGGGATCTTGTTCCGTGTAAGGTATGTTGTTTGTGTCTACCTTGGACTTCACATTTCGTTTAGTTTGTTGTTTTGTCGTTGTGTTTATTCGTTATAATAAACATGTATGCATATCACGCTGCGCCTTGGTCCGACCCGTCATTAAACGAACGTGACAAATATAAAATATATTTTGATTTGTTTAATACTTTTTTGGTTACTACATGATTCCATATGTGTTATTTCATAGTTTTGATGTCTTCACTATTATTCTACAATGTAGAAAATAGTAAAAATAAAGGAAAACCCTTGAATGAGTAGGTGTGTCCAAACTTTTGACTGGTAGTGTATATGGAGAGTCATTGAACGCTGGTCACTTCATATTCTGTTTATATACTTTTGTTTACTTACTGTGCATTCAGAAAGTATTCAGACCCCTTGACTTTTCCACATTTTGTTACGTTACAGCCTTATTCTAAAATTGATTAAATCGTTTTTTCCCCTCATCAATCTACACACAATACCCCATAATGACAAAGCAAAAACTGATTTTTAGAAAAAACTGAAATATCACATTTACATAAGTATTCAGACCCTTTACTCAGTACTTTGTTGAAGCACCTTTGGCAGCGATTACAGCCTCGATTCTTCTTGGGTATGACGCTACAAGCTTGGCACACCTGTATTTTGGGAGTTTGCTCACTCTAATATACAGTATCTATTCAGGATTATTCATTCGGCCCGTTCTGTCATTTCCTGATTTCATGTTTAGATTTTTTGATTACTTTTGTATTTGTATTGCATTTGTGAGACAATCTATTGCACTGTTGGAGCTAGTAACACAAGCATTTCGCTGCATCTTATATAATCTGTGTACGCGATCAATAAACTTTGATTTGATTTGATTCAATGGAGTGAGTGCACACTTACGAGTACTGTGTGAGTTTGTCAAGGTTGTTGTTCATGTTGATGGGGTAGTGTTCCCCCAGGTGGATGAGCTTCTCCAAGGCCTCGTAGATGAAGATGATGCAGATCAGCGAGGCGAAGGCCTCCTCTGTGAATCGTGTGATGTAACAGACCAGGGAGCTGGCGTCTGTGGCCACCAGGAGCAGACAGAGGAACGCTGTCCACAGCCCTATACAGGTTCTCAGTGAGAGGTAGGATAATCCGTACTCCCTGAGGAGAGAGTGCAAAACATCACTTTTATTTTACATTTTTAAATGTAATCTTTATTTATTCAGGAAGTCCCATTGAGGTCAGAAGACCTCTTTTACAAAGGAAAACTGGCCAAAAAAGGGCAGCTCAATTATAAAATACATAGATCCTTCACAGTACAATGCATACACAATGCATCACTGACACTGCAGCACTAACATTTCATATACTATACGACAACATCTGTGAGGTTTTTACCTCCCTTCTGATCTATCTGCAGGATATGGGATCTGAGGTTGTCATTATCACAATGGTATTTTAAAACTACTTAAAGCAGTATAGAACATTAAAATAAATGATCAATGTACTTTGGCAGTACTCTATGTGACATCCGGACATCCGGACATCCGGTCATCCTACACCAGTATGTGACCATAACTATTGTTATTGGGATGGATGATCATCATACAATCTAATCGCATATTATCAGATGTGGTGGCAGAATTTGGGGTGAGCTGTTGTAACTTCTCAAGGGATATGTTCTGTGTTGGACTGTGATGTTTTGCCTTTCATAGACTCCTGGTAAGTCTGCACCCTGTTTTAGGCCGTCATTGTAAATAAGAATTTGTTCTTAACTGACTTGCCTAGTTAAATAAAGGTTAAATAAAATAAATAAAAATAAAACACAAGGCCATTGTGTTCCAGAACTGTTGCTTGTATAAAATAACTGTTGTGTAAACAATATGATTGTATTATCACCTCCCACTATATAAGGGACATGTACAGTGCCTTGCAAAAGTATTCATCCCCCATGGCGTTTTTTCCTATTTTGTTGCATTACAACCTGTAATTTAAATGGATTTTTATTTGGATTTCATGTAATGGACATACACAACATAGTCCAAATTGGTGAAGTGAAATTTAAAAAATAACTTATTTCAAAAAATTCTAAAAAATAAATAACGGAAAAGTGGTGCGTGCATATGTATTCACCCCCTTTGCTATGAAGCCCCTAAATAAGATCTGGTGCAACCAATTACCTTCAGAAGTCACATAATTAGTTAAATAAAGTCTACCTGTGTGCAATCTAAGTGTCACATGATCTGTCACATGATCTCAGTATATATACATCTGTTCTGAAAGGCCCCAGAGTCTGCAACACCACTAAGCAAGGGGCACCACCAAGCAAGCAGCACCATGAAGACCAAGGAGCTCTCCAAACAGGTCAGGGCCAAAGTTGTGGAGAAGTACAGATCAGGGTTGGGTTATAAAAAAATATCAGAAACTTTGAACATCCCACGGAGCACCATTAAATCCATTATTAAAAAATTGAAAGAATATGGCACCACAACAAACCTGCCAAGAGAGGGCCGCCCACCAAAATTCACGGACCAGGCAAGGAGGGCATTAATCAGAGAGGCAACAAAGAGATCAAAGATAACCTTGAAGGAGCTGCAAAGCTCCACAGCGGAGATTGGAGTATCTGTCCATAGGCCCACTTTAAGCCGTACACTCCACAGAGCTGGGCTTTACGGAAGAGTGGCCAGAAAAAAGCCATTGCTTAAAGAAAAAAATAAGCAAACACATTTGGTGTTCACCAAAAGCCATGTGGGAGACTCCCCAAACACATGGAAGATGAGACTAAAATTGAGCTTTTTGTCCATCAAGGAAAACGCTATGTCTGGCGCAAACCCAACACCTCTCATCACCCCGAGAACACCATCCCCACAGTGAAGCATGTTGGTGGCAGCATCATGCTGTGGAGATGTTTTTCATCGGCAGGGACTAGGAAACTGGTCAGAATTGAAGGAATGAGGGTAACCTGTTTCAGTCTTCCAGAGATTTGAGACTGGGACGGAGGTTCACCTTCCAGCAGGACAATGACCCTAAGCATACTGCTAAAGCAACACTCGAGTGGTTTAAGGGGAAACATTGAAATGTCTTGGAATGGCCTCGTCAAAGCCCAGACCTCAATCTAATTGAGAATCTGTGGTATGACTTAAAGATTGCTGTACAACAGCGGAACCCATCCAACTTGAAGGAGCTAGAGCAGTTTTGCCTTGAAGAATGGGCAAAAATCCCAGTGGCTAGATGTGCCAAGCTTATAGAGACATACCCCAATAAACTTGCAGCTGTAATTGCTGCAAAAGGTGGCTCTACAAAGTATTGACTTTGGGGGGGTGAATAGTTATGCACGCTCAAGTTTTCTGTTTTTTTGTCTTATTTCTTGTTTATTTCACAAGAAAAAATATTTTGCATCTTCAAAGTGGTAGGCATGTTGTGTAAATCAAATGATACAAACCCCCCAAAAATCCATTTTAATTACATTTACATTTTACAGACGCTCTTATCCAGAGCGACTTACAGGAGCAATTACGGTTAAGCGCCTTGCTCAAGGGCACAGACAGATTTCTCATCTAGTCAGCGATTAGAACCAGCGACCTTTCGGTTACTGGCACAACGCTCTTAACCACTAAGCTACCTGCCACTGTAATTCCAGGTTGTAAGGCAACAAAATAGGAAAAATGCCAAGGGGGGTGAATACTTTCGCAAGCCACTGTAACCATTTATTATTTGAGTTCTTCTCTGTGAAATCAGAGGTGGATCTCCCCTGCAGCTGCTTGTATTAAAGATTGTTCTATTATATCATCATATTATATTATATCTCTGCCTTAACCTTTGGATCGAATTTTCCACAACACAGAGATGCAAGTACAGAAATGGCCAGAGTGCTATGGACAATACATACATTGAGGGAAAAAAGTATTTGATCCCCTGCTGATTTTGTACGTTTGCCCACTGACAAAGACATGATCAGTCTATCATTTTAATGGTAGGTTTATTTGAACAGTGAGAGGCAGAATAACAACAACAAAATCCAGAAAAATGCATGTCAAAAATATTATAAATTGATTTGCATTTTAATGAGGGAAATAAGTATTTGACCCCTCTGCAAAACATGACTTAGTACTTGGTGGCAAAACCCTTGTTGGAAATCACAGAGGTCAGACGTTTCTTGTAGTTGGCCACCAGGTTTTCACACATCTCAGGAGGGATTTTGTTCCACTCCTCTTTGCAGATCTTCTCCAAGTCATTAAGGTTTCAAGGCTGATGTTTGGCAACTCGAACCTTCAGCTCCCTCCACAGATTTTCTATGGGATTAAGGTCCAGAGACTGGCTAGGCCACTCCAGGACCTGAATGTGCTTCTTCTTGAGCCACTCCTTTGTTGCCTTGGCTGTGTGTTTTGGGTCATTGTCATGCTGGAATACCCATCCACGACCCATTTTCAATGCCCTGGCTGAGGGAAGGAGGTTCACACTCAAGATTTGATGGTACATGGCCCCGTCCATCGTCCCTTTGATGCGGTGAAGTTGTCCTGTCCCCTTAGCAGAAAAACACCCCCAAAGCTTAATGTTTCCACCTTCATGTTTGACGGTGGGGATGGTGTTCTTGAGGTCATAGGCAGCATTCCTCCTCCTCCAAACACGGCGAGTTGAGTTGATGCCAAAGAGCTAAATTTTGGTCTCATCTGACCACAACACTTTCACCCAGTTCTCGTCTGAATCATTCAGATGTTCATTGGCAAACTTCAGACGGCCCTGTATATGTGCTTTCTTGAGCAGGGGGACCTTGCAGGCGTTGCAGGATTTCAGTCCTTCACGGCGTAGTGTGTTACCAATTGTTTTCTTGGTGACTATGGTCCCAGCTGCTTTGAGATCATTGACAAGATCCTCCCGTGTAGTTCTGGGCTGATTCCTCACCGTCTCATGATCATTGCAACTCCACGAGGTGAGATCTTGCATGGAGCCCCAGGCCGAGGGAGATTGACAGTTCTTTTGTGTTTCTTCCATTTGCGAATAATCGCACCAACTGTTGTCACCTTCTCACCAAGCTGCTTGGCGATGGTCTTGTAGCCCATTCCAGCCTTGTGTAGGTCTACAATCTTGTCCATGACATCCTTGGATAGCTCTTTGGTCTTGGCCATGGTGGAGAGTTTGGAATCTGATTGATTGATTGCTCCTGTGGACAGGTGTCTTTTATACAGGTAACAAACTGAGATTAGGAGCACCCCCTTTAAGAGTGTGCTCCTAATCTCAGCTCGTTACCTGTATAAAAGACACCTGGGAGCCAGAAATCTTTCTGATTGAGAGGAGGTCAAATACTTATTTCCCTCATTAAAATGCTAATCAATTTATAACATTTTTTACATGCGTTTTTCTTGATTTTTTTGTTGTTATTCTGTCTCTCACTGTTCAAATAAATCTACCATTAAAATTATAGACTGATAATTTCTTTGTCAGTGGGCAAACGTACAAAATCAGCAGGGGATCAAATACTTTTTTCCCTCACTGTAGAGATTATTAATCATGTGGGCCCATAGTGTTATACAACTACTGTATATATAATTATAGCTATATAAAACAATACACCTATAGTGTTGTAAACAAACTTACTTGCAGAATTTATACAATATCTTCTCAAACACCAGCACAGGCCCTGTGCTGCCCAATATGGTGAGTGGCTGGCCAGCAAACAGGGAATAAGCTATTCCTGTCATTGAGGCGCCAAAAAGTGATTCAATTGCACTCTGCAGGACACAAAGAAACATACACTGTAAACCCCAAGGTATTTTTAACTCAAATACTTCTAGTAAGTTGTACTCAAACTCAATGAAAAGCCATTATTACAGTGGTACTGACTCAGAACTAAATGAGAAGTCACACCAACTACATTTTTTAACGATATGATAACAAATTAACTTTTTCCCAGCATGCTCTACTGCAGGTAGATTTTTTGGAATTGTTTTTAATATCTGCATTTTTGCATGTACATTGAGTGATTGATTGATTGAATGTTTTGATACACAAAGATAATTATTTATAAACTAATCCAATCATTGAGTTTTTGCACCCGTTACTGAAATGGTTGTTCCAGTTTAAATGGCTTAGGTAGTTTCCTCCCATTGTTCTTAACCCTGGCAGTCATTATGAATGCAGGTTGCGGGTGAATACAAATTTCAACTGTTGGATAGCCTAACGCTGGCTAGATTCCAATAGGAATTACACATCACTTTGCAAGCCAACATTATGGGATTTACAGTTAGGGTTGCAAAATTCTTGGAAATGTCCATGGTTTTTCCAGAAATCCTGGTTGGAAGATTACTGGAAAAATATTTGGGAAAGATTGTGGCATTTTGCAACCCTACTTGCAGGCCTGATGTGGCCTGTAAACTATGAGTTTCAGGCCACTGTATAAGGCCTTATGATATATGTAATGGTTCAATTATAACGATAATATTCACCTAGGAACTCACTTGGTGAAGGCCACAGGACTGAAAATAAACGAATTCAACAACCATGTCTCTGTCACTAACAAATACAGTCATGGATGGTAACTACAATTAAATCAAAAAAGTATACCTTACTCAAAAAAACTGCATTTGTATTACTTATATGAAGGTAGTACTGCTCACTTCAGCTATTTAAGTTTCTTAACCTAATTTATTTTAGGTAATCTGTTTCCTCAAAATGTTTGAGTAGCCAGAATTTATCTGGTTTTACAGTGTAGTTTATCTCTCAATAAATCTCTAAGCAGTTTTTTATTCTATTACTGTGTATTTGACCGGGATGGGCAGCATCCTAAATGGAACGCTATTCTCTATATAGTGCACTACTTTTGACCAGGTCACAAAAGTAGTGCACTATGTAAGGAATAGGGAGCCATTTGGGATGAAACCATGGTGACTTACTATGCGTCCTTCTGTTGCCTCTCCCAGTAAACCGCCGAACGTGATGACGGGTGACATGCAAGCACAGTACAGGAAGAGGAAGGAGGCCAAGCACTGCAGGCTGAGAGCGTCTGTGTAGTCGGACAGGTAGTGGGGCGCTTTGCGTTTAATGTCCAACAAGAGACCCCCACAGAATCTGGAAACATAATAATAATATAAACCATTTAGCAGACAGGTTTATCCAAAATTACTAATATTAGTGTGTGCATACAAGTTTAGGTGGCTCCAGCATTACTGGAACCCACAATCCTGGCTTTGCAAGCGCCATGCTCTATCAACTAAGACACACAGGACACCTACTGCATATGTAATAACAGCACAGATAGAAATTATTTAATTGTATTTTATATAATAGTCATTCATTTAATCTCTTCTGACGCTCACATTGAAACTAGCCTCCTAACAAATGCCTGCATTTCAAATCCATATCCAACCGCATTGGTAATCTGCTGTCTCGTGGTGAAGTGTGGAGTTTGCTTGCAGTTGGAGCCTTTTTTTTTACTCATTTTTTTACTTTATGTACTCCTCACACTACTTAATGTGCATGAAATACTGTAGAGACAGTAATGAGGATGACTTAGCATGAGCTCATGCCCATGCGGCAGAATATAGACCAGGCATTTAGGAGCCAATCATTACGTTGCTACACTCTGAGAAGAAAAGGTTGCAAATTGTCCTTAAATGTGTACAAACGCTTGTCACTGTAGTTGTACCCTGTAATGTACGTCAATTGTACCATTAGTTATAAGTAAATAATTGTACCCTTGCGAGCAATACTCGAACTTGAATTAACAGACCATAGACCACTTAAACTGGTACAACACTTCTACTCAAGGGTGGCAAAAATAACTAACTGAAAGCCAATTCCCCACTAAGCCACACCTCCAATGATTATTGTACCATCATACTAGATTATACCATTGTACCATTATACCATTATACTAGATTATACCATTGTACCATTATACTAGATTATCCACACATGTACCCTTAAAGATACCAGACAGTACCATGTGAGATCATATGTGTACCTCTGTAGGTACATTATGTGTATTTTGATCTTTTTGTACCCCAGGGAACAATACTGTACCTGAACCTTACCTTTTTTCTGAGAGCGTATGGCAACCATTGCATGACTTTCGTTCACACCTAAGATGAACTGCACACAGTGGCAATGGCAAACCTGGCCTCTGTCCAATGTTCCATAGATGTTTTTCAAAAAATAGCTGAAAAACCTGATCACTTTTAATCTATCGTTATTTCTTAATACACAACCACAAAATACACAACCACAACCACATACAACCACAACCACATACACTCACACTCTCTAAGCCTCTGGCAACCCCCCCCCCCCCCCCCCCCCCCCCCCACCTACCGTCCTGTCCGCTGCAGCTCCGGACCACCATGTCCCTCGTGCTCCTCTTCATCACCTGTGCCGGTCTGTGCTGCAATCTTCCTCTTCTCCTGTTATTCAAAGAACACTTCTCTGTTATTTCTTTCATTTTTCAAATCAAACTTTATTTGTCACATGCGCTGAATACAACAGGTGTAGACCTTACAGTGAAATGCTTACTTACAAGCCCTTAACCAACAATGCAGTTTAAAGAAAGTAACAACTAATTAAAGACCAGCAGTAAAATAACAATAGCGAGGCTATATACAGGGGGTACCGGTACCGAGTCAATGTGCGGGGGCACCGGTTAGTCGAGGTAATTGAGGTAATATGTACATGTATGTAGTTATTTGTATGTCCGCTGATGACAGACTTGTTAAAGAAGGGGCTAAACTCACCTGAGACGGTACATTTTTTGGGGGCTCTATTCGTATAGAAGGATCCCACTCCCCTGGTGGCAGGACTGTCACTTGGTCCAGGAACTCATCGATTCCAGCAATTAGATCATTGCGGTCCTTCGCTTTGTAGGCAACATCATGGAAAACCTTGGAATGAAGAACCAGAATAAATTCAGTCATGAATTGACATGTTCATTCAGTCATGCCCAACAACTATGTTCAGTATTGGAGAGGCTGTCTTACCTCGTCTGTCATTAGTGTTGCGATGGATCGGCCAATCTCATGGTACTGTGGCCCTTTCCCAAGAGGCCCTAACAGAATGAACAAGAACCTAAAAAAAAACAGAGCAGTGTATACAATTGAGGGTCAGCCCAAAAAGGACTAAGGAGGGCATAGTGTTAGTCATAGACAGGAGACCATAGTTATACACTAATTGAAGGTAGGGTTGTGAAATTCCGGTAACTTTCTCAAAAATCCCAGGTTTACAGAAATCCTGGTTTGAGGATTCCCGGATTTCCTGCTGATTCCAGGAATCTTCCTACCGGGATTTCTGGAAAACCTGGGAATTTTGGGAAAGTTACGGGAATACTGCAACACTAATTTGGGGTCATAGTGTTACTAACCTGGTAACGATGGGGACCTCAGCCAGCCCGTTGAGCATGACTGCAGGTGAGAGACGTACAAACGCCACCACAGGCTTGTCTAGGAACTCCGCCTCACCCACCAACACATTGGACGCTTCCGCTCCCGGGGGAATCTTCTTCATGAAATGGAGGTCTATCTAGATGGACACAGGATAGAATATGCTGTTTTTAGTGGAGCATTTTACGACTGAAGTCTGAATATAGCATTTTACTGTATTAATATCTCAACTCAAAAGAAGAGTATTCATGGATTGCACATTTCGTCACAATATTGTTTTGAACATTTGTTTTAAGACTGATGCCCAACTGAGAATTCTACTCAATGCATTGTCAATGGGCGCTGATGAAGATGTAGTCTAAAGTGCATTACCGTGGCTTGAAAACACAATGACATTTCAAAAGTAGGCAAATAATTAGTAGGAAAACCTTTTGTCATCATTGTGATGTCGCCAGATTGACTTTAGATGCAGTATAACTTTAGTTAGCTAGCTAAGACTGAGGTGACAGCACCGTTTTGACAAACTTTGATAGCTAATGGCAACATTGCCATATCTCTAAAGTAAATTTGACAACATCAAAATCATGGCAAAGTTGTTTCCTACTAATTATTTGCCTACTTTAGCTATGTCATCGTATACAGTGACTTGCAAAAGTATTCATCCCCCTTGTCATTTTTCCTATTTTGTTGCATTACAACCTGTAATTAAAATGGATTTTTATTTGGATTTAAAAATAGTCAAAATTGGTGAAGTGAAATGAAAAAAATAACTTATTTTAAAAAATTCTAACAAATAAATAACGGAAAAGTGGTATGTGCATATGTATTCACCCCCTTTGCTAAGAAGCCCCTAAATAAGATCTGCTCTGCAACACCACTAAGCAAGGGGCACCACCAAGCAAGAGGCACCATGAAGACCAAGGAGCTCTCCAAACAGGTCAGGGACAAAGTTGAGGAAAAGTACAGATCAGGGTTGGGTTATAAAAAAATATCTGAAACTTTGAACCTCCCACGGAGCACCATTAAATCCATTATTAAAAAATTGAAAGAATATGGCACCACAACAAACCTGCCAAGAGAGGGCCGCCCACCAAAACTCACGGACCAGGAAAGGAGGGCATTAATCAGAGAGGCAACAAAGAGACCAAAGATAACCCTGAAGGAGCTGCAAAGCTCCACAGCGGAGATTGGAGTATCTGTCCATAGGACCACTTTAAGCCATACACTCCACAGAGCTGGGCTTTACGGAAGAGTGGCCAGAAAAAAAGCCATTGCTTAAAGAAAACAATAAGCAAACACGTTTGGTGTTCGCCAAAAGGCATGTGGGAGACTCCCCAAACATATGGAAGAAGGTACTCTGGTCAGATTGAGCTTTTTGGCCATCAAGGAAAATGTCTAGCGGAAACCCAACACCTCTCATCACCCCGAGAACACCATCCCCAGTGAAGCATGGTGGTGGCAGCATCATGCTGTGGGGATGTTTTTCATCGGCAGGGACTGGGAAACTGGTCAGAATTGAAGGATTGATGGATGGTGCTAAATACAGGGAAATTCTTGAGGGAAACCTGTTTCAGTCTTCCAGAGATTTGAGACTGGGACGGAGGTTCACCTTCCAGCAGGACAATGACCCTAAGCATACTGCTAAAGCAACACTCGAGTGGTTTAAGGGGAAACATTGAAATGTCTTGGAATGGCCTAGTCAAAGCCCAGAACTCAATTCAATTGAGAATCTGTGGTATGACTTAAAGATTGCTGTACACAAGCAGAACCCATCCAACTTGAAGGAGCTGGAGCAGTTTTGCCTTGAAGAATGGGCAAAAATCCCAGTGGCTAGATGTGCCAAGCTTATAGAGACATACCCCAAGAGACTTGCAGCTGTAATTGCTGCAAAAGGTTGCTCTACAAAGAATTGACTTTGGGGGGGGTGAATAGTTATGCACGCTCAAATGTTCTGTTTTTTTTTGGTCTTATTTCTTGTTTGCTTCACAAAAAAAATATTTTGCATCTTCAACGTGGTCGGTTCCTGTCTCTCCATTGGGATTCTCTGCCTCTGACCCTATTCCGGGGGCTGAGTCACTGGCTTACTGGTGCTTTCCATGCCGTCCCTAGGAGGGGTGAAGCACTTGAGTGGGTTGAGTCACTTATGTGATCTTCCTGTCCGGTTTGTCGCTCCCTTGGGCTCGTGCAGTTGAGGAGATCTTTGTGGGCTATACTTAGCCTTGTCTCAGGGTAGTAGGTTGGTAGTCTGTTGATATCCCTCTGGTGGTGTGGGGGCTGTGCTTTGGCAAGGTTGGTGGGGTTATATCCTGCCTGGTTGGCCCTGTCTGAGGGTATCGTCGGATGGGACCACAGTGTCTCCCGACCCCCCCTGTCTCAGCCTCTTTGCTGCAATAGTCTATGTGCCGGGGGGCTAGGGTCAGTCTGTTATATCTGGTGTTATTCTCCTGTCTTATTCGGTGTCCTGTGTGAATTTAAGTATGCTCCCTCTAATTATCTCTCTCTCTCCCTCCCATCCCGGAGGACCTGAGCCCTAGAACCATGCCTCAGGACTACCTGGCCTGATGACTCCTTGCTGTCCCCAGTCCACCTGGTCGTGCTGCTACTCCAGTTTCCACTCTTCTGCCTGCGGCTATGGAACCCTGACCTGTTCACCGGACGTACTACCTTGTCCCAGACCTGCTGTTTTCAACTTTCTCTCTCTACCGCACCTGCTATTTGAACCTCTAAATGCCCGGCTATGAAAAGCCAAGTGACATTTACTCCTGATGTACTAACCTGTTGCAACCTCTACAACCACTGTGATTATTATTTGACCCTGCTGGTCATCTTTGAACGTTTGAACATCTTGGAGAAAATAATGTACAGTTATAATCTCCACCCGTCACAACCAGAAAGGGACTGGCCACCCCTCAGAGCCTGGTTCCTCTCTAGGTTTCTTCCTAGGTTTCTGCCTTTCTATGGAGTTTTTCCTAGCCACCGTGCTTCTACATCTGCATTGCTTGCTGTTTGGGGTTTTAGGCTGGGTTTCTGTATAGCACTTTGTGACATCTGCAGATGTAAAAAGGGCTGATTTGATTGATTGATTGATTGAATTTGGTAGGCATCTTGTGTAACTCAAATGACACAAACCCCCCGAAAATCTATTTTAATTCCAGGTTGTAAGGCAACAAAATAGGAAAAATGCCAAGGGGGGTGAATACTTTCGCAAGCCACTGTATCGAGGCCACTATAGTGTAATTTTAACGAAACAGTCATTAGTCCCCGTTCAGAATGTGTGGGCACCAGTCGCCGTAATGGCGGAGGCGTTTTAAGAACACTCATAACAATGGCATGACGCAACTGAGTGATGAAGGTGCAACCCATGAATAAGAAAAGAAAAGCAGACAATCTGAAATACATTCTCAAAACAAAAATAACCTAATCCCTACCGTTGATCCCTCCTGACAATGTGTGACTAGGGTTACAAAATTCGGATAACTTTCCTAAAATTCCCTGGTTTTCCGGATTGCCTGCTTGTTTTCTCCTGATTCCGGGAATCGTCCAACCAGGATTTCTGTAAAATCTAGGATTTTTGGGATAGATACCACAATTATGCAACCCTATGTGTGATAATAGTGTATTTCCTGTTAATAGCTAAATATAGATTGGCCAACTGGACCCTATTTCATAATATAACCATCATAACATACATATTAACTATTACAGAAGATGACCATAATCAGCCTAAAGTGGTATCACTAGTTACATAACATTTCCAGAGGTTTTCATCTCCTTGTTGTTACACTGTGACTGCCCCCGCAATAACACATCCATCCAGACCTGAGCCTGCCTGGCTGCCTGCTAACTGATCCTCCTGTCTCTATTCTGCTGTGATCCTGGCTGCCTGCTAACTGATCCTCCTGTCTCTATTCTGCTGTGATCCTGGCTGCCTGCTAACTGATCCTCCTGTCTCTATTCTGCTGTGATCCTGGCTGCCTGCTAACTGATCCTCCTGTCTCTATTCTGCTGTGATCCTGGCTGCCTGCTAACTGATCCTCCTGTCTCTATTCTGCTGTGATCCTGGCTGCCTGCTAACTGATCCTCCTGTCTCTATTCTGCTGTGATCCTGTCTGTCTGCTATGGAGCTGCACTGCGTCAAATGGAAGTGATGTAACTTTAAGAAGAAGCAGTAGAAGCATCAGAGTCCCAGCTATAAACTCCATGCTCACTGCTAACTGAATAAGGAGGCCACAAACTATATTGTAGTGAAGTGGAACAGAAAAGCTCAGCCTATAGAATGTGTAACAAATTGAAGTAATTTAGCAATTGCATTTTTTATAATATTGTGGGACAATAAATGTGTAACATGGGCTTCTGCCTCCTGACAGAAGAGTATGGATATGGACTTGCAGCAGATACTGAGGTTAAATATATTATTTATGTAATTTGTACTTTGTATTGATAGATACAGTGAATAAGTGATTGGGATGAGGAGATAGAGGAGAGGGACATAGAATGGAAAGTGGCACAGTCAGGGTTTGAACCCATGCCTCCATGGGCAATGTGTGGTCCGTGAGCAGCATCACTACCACTAAATCAGCCCCTGGCACAATACTGAGGTTAATGAAGGTGCTAAGTGTACAGTTCAAATACAGGCCTAAGTATGTTAAACAGCCATGTTAAATCCAGAACATCTATAGAATACTCTCCATTAAGCTTCTTTGTCTAAAAAATATTTGGTTGCATTTTATTTATGGATTTATTCAACCACATTAGACAGTTTTAAATACATTCTCAGAACAAGAACAATAGGCTCTGATACTTTGGTACAAAAGGTTAACTGACAAAAGGTTAGCATTGTAGGATTTAGAGGTAAGTGAGACTGTTGTTGTCCCAGTATAATCCACAGCGCTAATGGCAGTGTTGGTGAGATGACTGTTTTGCTATAGCGTGGTTATAATGGTTTAAATCCTAATCCACAAAAAGAGGACTTCTATGGATAATAACAGCAACAAACAAATGAAAATGGAACAGATTATTTTTAATGTTCATACACCCGTCAACTGCAACAGCTGGTATGTTAAGTGCAGTATGTGGCACTGTAGTATGTTAGTGAGTTCAAGGTCTATATTCATAAAGTGTCTCAGAGTTGGAGTGCTGATCTAGGATCAGTTTGGCCTTTTAAATCATAATGAATAAGAGGGAGGGACCTGATCCTAGATCAGCACTCCTACTCTGAGATTCTTTGAGAATACGGGCCCAGAATGTCTTACTGTACCTTACTGAAGTCCACAGCACTGTTCTCTCTGCTGACTTCAGCTTTGCCGTCATTGGGGATGGGTAGAGAGGTCTGGGGAGGAATCACCTGACCTGGATCAAAAAGAGAGGAAGGAGTCCAATAAGTCAACTACTGAGCCCTGTATATTAGACCAACATCAAGGTTTCACAGCAGTGCAGGTGCCAATGGTAATAAATCACAGCGTCTCACAGAGAGAGAAAGAAAGGGAGAGAGCACTCCTGGGATACCAAAATTACCAACAGTGCTTCAGATATCTATAGATTTGCACTCTAATGTTGATGTAATCTGGGATTTATCAGACATTGGCAAAGTACCCTTATTCAGTGCAGATCCCAAGAGAGGACCGAAGATAAAGCCTAAGAGTGGCTGCATGGGGGAGGATGGAAGTCATGGATGGCCTTGGTGAGGATGGGTGGGTGAAGCTTGTCCATTAGGATTTCAGCATGATCATTTTAGCATTATCATTGTGTCAAGGAGACTGACTGATGCAAACAGGAAATTAGCCCACAGCTGCCAGAGTAGAGCAAAAGGATTTAAATCGCAAGGATTAATTTTATTTGTGAGAGGGCACAGATAAATACTAATTTCAGTGTTTGATCCTTTCACAAGCCAGTAGAAACTATCAGTGACTAACGGATGCATAACAAATCTAAATAATCTGAAATAAAAGCATGCCTTGCAATGATTCATTTTGACTCATATTTCCACATGAACTCAAATGAGAGAAGCCTCAAGCAATTTACCAAGCTAGCTGCTGTGGCCAGTGAAGAAACACCACAGCCTCAACCCCTTTAGCTTTAAATGGCATTACTTGCAATGAGTAGGAGGGTGCCCTCACTAACATGGCTCTGGTTTTGTTTATTAATCACGCACTCGGTGTTGCCACTCTTTAATTTAGCTTTTGGATAAGCACTCTACTAAAATGAATGTGCCTGTGTCACACCACTCTGAATAAAATGACAGCAGAGAATGACTTGCTAAAAGGGTTTTGGGTGGTCTTCATGTATCAAAATTGGCATGTGGAATGCTGGCAAACTTGCTTCCGAAACATAATTCCTGTAAAAGGTGATGGACATTCTCAATAAGGTATCATTCACATGGAACCTAAGGGATCAGTGAACCCTGCTGCTCAGGGCCTTTTCTCTTCTGAATATTTCCCTGTCCACATCTTCTACACTGATCACACCTTATCTCTATATTTTAAATTCTGATATTAAAAACGTAGAAATCAACGTATAGTTGATGTTAATGTTTAAGATAAGTACAGCAACTCTTTTAACATTATCCCTGTTGATAGATATACCTAATAACTGTCACTGATGTCTCATCGTGATCAATGGAATACATTTACAATGTACGGCTCCCGAGTGGCGCAGCGGTCTAAGGCACTGCATCTCAGTGTTAGAGGCGTCACTACAGACCCTGGTTTGATTCCAGGCTGTATCACATCCGGCTGTGATTGGGAGTCCCATAGGGCGGTGCACAATTGGTCTAGCGTCGTCTGGGTTTGGCCGGGGTAGGCCGTCATTGTAAATACGAATTTGTTCTTAACTGACTTGCCTAGTTAAATAAAGGTTAAAAGAAATATGATATGAGTATTGTCTATACTATACACTTTCTCACCTGATGGTCTATAACTGACAGTTGATTAAATGACCTGAAAACACACAACACAACCTCTAACTATTATTGAAGGAAAAAGCTTAGAGATTACCACCTTCACAAGGTATGTTTAGGAAGTGCTAGCAGTAGAGAAAGGTTATGTCAATGTTTAAGAGTTGCCTGGGTCCGGGTCATCCTCCTTGTCCACGGGTTGGATATCAAACTGGGGTCTCTGGCCCTTTTTCTGTGGTCTGGGGTCTGGGTATGAAGTGGCTGGAGGGAGGCGGGTGGTGGATGAGGTCGGGTGTGGAGAGGAGATGGAGGAGGAGACACACTGGGGACAACACAGTGGCCATGGGGTGCAGGATGAGACCTGCCTGTCACTGCTAGACCCCGCTGCCATAAATGAGCACCAGAAGGACTTAAGGGTAGAACAGAGTGATGGACCACCTGCCAGACACACATACATCCACATATACAGACACACACAAGCACACTCACACACACACACACACAAGGAAACAAGAGAAGAGAGACACACTGAACACTGAAAAGAAGGTAAAATATGTACAAGGTCATGTAGAATGAGAAAGTTATCCACGTGGGATGATTGAAACCACTACTAAGATTATTTCAAATGTTAACGTTGCTGTGACCAGTAGTAAAAGGTGAGGAGAACTGAAACACTTCTGGATGCACCAGGGCCCGGGTTTCACAAAAATATTTGTGAAAAAAACATCTAGGATGTTTCTTAAAAGAAAAATAATAAGTTCATAAGATAGTTCTTAAATCCCACGCTATCTTCGGCAATATTTTAGTGCTTCCAAATCCTCTTAAACGTTGTGTGTTTCTGTAGCTCGTTGTTTGCATCAGATTTGTCTATTTCTTCTGCATCCACTGATGCCAACCATTAGTCTGTGTGATTGATGGGGGCTGAACTAGAGCTGTGTTTGCGAGACTCGAAAACGGTTTGTCTCACATAAACATCTGTAAAGTCTGAATGGTTGAGCTACAAACAATTATGACCCCACTATAAAAAGCTGAGGCTCTCACAAACACGCACATGTAATCTGTTTACAAGCAGTAGAAGTCTTAAGGGTCACAAGGGTTCTTCTACATAGAAGACCATATACAATTATTGCATTGCGATCTTGCCTAATGTTTTTCTGAGCTTTCCTATATCTCTCAGATGTATTTCAGACACTTATCGTGTGGATATTAAAGTTTATTTCACTAATTTCAAGTTCAAGTACAAATTCCGCCCAGGACATAGTGTCTATAATATTGTAATAACCTTACATAGTTGCTGTCACAAACTCCGAACTCCACACAGTTGTCACTGACTGGTTGGATATTCATTTCCCACTGAGCAAACAATTTCTGTACTTACAGCATTCTTATCAATTATTTTTTATCAGGTTTCTGCATGACAGACTTTATTTTTTTATTTACATTTGTCAATAAAACTCATGAATGCAACTGTTTATGTCAATTTTGTGTTCAATTTTGTGCCCTGGTTGTCCTGAAAATAAAATTGTAAAACACTTCAATGTGAGGCTAAATATGAGGACATAAAAGATAAGATAAATAAAAGTAATGAATTTTCAGGTTTTAGATTTAGGGACTGGCTGGATTCAATGAGTTAAGAACTTTTCAAATATCTTCTTATGATGATTGTTCCTATGTACTTGAACAGAGAGCTGCCTGTTTCTCACCGTTCTTGTCCATGGAGTGGGGCTCGGACTGCTTCTTGTCAGCGAAGGAACGTACAATGGGGATGCGGTTGGCCAGCTTCTTCTGGTTCTGGTGGTGGTGCTGTTTGAGGAGGGTCTCTCTCACCTTCCTCCTCACCTCGTCCCCCAGTGGACCTACAGTCTCTTGCTGGTCCAACACCATGTCTGACAAACAACACCACACAGTCAACAGTTTAACAGCAATTAGGAAACCATCTATTACATTCTGATTACAATGTTTACAATTAAAGATTGAAATTAAGATCATAGAACAGGGTCATATTCACTAGGAACAAAATGGAAGAAATGCTTTTTTTGTTTTATGTTGCAAAACGTTTCTCTACGGTATGCACTAATGAATATGACGCAGGTGTATGGCGTAGTTCCAGATGCCACTCTGGTCCCCGGACATTACTTTTCACAATGCAAATTGTTAAACAAACATCCATCTGTAATAATCTACCTTCAATCTGTTACATTTACTGACAAAATTGACTCTACATTTTATCGCTAAGAAATGTGTTAATATATTCTGTGACTCAGTTAATGGTGGTCATCAAGAGATTTTGATTGTGAGCTGATGGTCAACGGAAAGGAAGATGTTGGGAACCGCTGCTCTACAATACCTGCTACCTCCTCCACGGAGTTGGCCCTCATGTCTAGCAGCACGACGCCGTTGAGGATGCAGCTGCGCAGCTCGAACAGGCTGTGCAGGGACAGAGTGGCCACGTAGGGCTTACTCCAGCGCTCCCCTCCATCCTCCACATCCTCTTCAAACTTCAGCCACCTGTATGAGGGACAGAGGCCCAGTTTCAGTCAAACTGTTCCAGGGGACTAGGGGATAGATGACAGCCAGCTGTTCAGCCATCTGGAAGCCCTGTACTGATAGAGCTCAGCTTACACAGACGGGGACACTAAGAACATATCGATGCTGTGCTGGAGTCTGGTCGAGCGGTAATGCTCTCGACTCCACTGTAGTCTGTGCCCTCCCTACCAGTCATTCCTCCTTAATTGACTGCCCCCGGTCCTGTCTAAAAACCAATATAAAAGGATGTTTGGATTTCCGATTTGGTAGGGACTGACTGACTGACAATCCATGTAAAGGTGTATCAGTCAATATCAATGTGACAGAAAGTACTGTAGTGTAGAAAGCCCAACAGGATATTTATCCAGTCCAGACATTATGCTTGTTTACTACAAGTAGAGGTACAGAAATGTTTACTACAAGTAAACAAGCGTTAGTTTCCCTTTAAATCTGGGCTCCCAGATCTCATGCACCAGACTTTATGCACCAGACTTTATAATTAGAGCTTTATTTAGCCCATCCATCCCCAAGGTCTACAATCCCTCTTTATGTAAAGTTTACTCTTGCTTCTGGCATTTGGATATTATCACAGAGAATAAAATTATAAATAAATAAATAATATCATATATATCAATGCCATCACTTAGCATGATTAAAAAGCAACCTATGGACCAACATGGAATCCCTAGGATGTGTCATTGGAATTGATTAAAAGCTTTCAGTAATCAAATCAAATCAAATGTTATTTGCCACATGCGCCGAATACAACAGGTGTAGATCTTACAGTAAAATGCTTACTTACAAGCCCTTAACCAACAATGCAGTTTTAAGAAAAAAAGTGTTAAGTAAAAAACAGATAAGTAAAAAATCAAAATAACAAATATGACAGGGGTGTGTCATGTGACTCCCTACCTGGCTGTTTCCCTCCACTCGGTGTCCTCTCCGTCTTTCAGGCAGATCTCGTCCAGCTCAGTGAAGAGGTCATGGGGGATGTGCTCCTCGTCGTCATCCTCTGTGCCCAGCAGGAACTGCACTCTCTGGGAGGGCGTGTCTGGAGCACAGGGTCAGGTAACGGCATCACTTACAGTATTGTCTGCCATACAGACTCCCTGACTAAGGAGCTCTGCAGCAGGTTATGCACATACACTTTTGGGCAGTGTGTCAGTGTGTGGACAACATCCCCTATGCATCCATATAGACATTCCATATTATTACAGAATCCTATAACTCATCAAATGATATAAATATAATATATTGTAATAACAAACAAAAAGGAAAATGGCTTTATTCTACCCAAAGGACCAGACAATCCGGCTGCTGCTTTTAAATGGGCCAGCCAGACAGTGGCAATACTTACTGTATGTGGGAGATTCTCTTCCATCGTCCACTCCAGAGTCCCGCTCCCTGCTTCTCTTCCTGTGTCTGTGTCCGTGATGTCGATGTCTCCGGTGGCTCTTCCTCCCCATGGGGACATGTACCCCAATATAGAGTGTCCTGTGACCTAGATGCAGCCACCGGGATATGAATAAGATAAGATAAGGTGATAACATAAGAAATTGAGAGGTAGAGAAATAATTATATTCAAAGAGGTCACTGATTAAGGCTGCCCATTCTGTTTGTATTTATGGGTCAATATCAACAGAGATATACCCACAACAAAGACAAACATTATGGATTACACTTTACTTTCTAATCAGCTATAAGTAAATACCAGCTTACATACCAGCTATAAAATAAAGCATTACCAAATTGCATAAATATATCTTAGAATAATCTGGATTTCTGCTTCCAAGGTCATGCCACCAATATTTCATTGAGAGATACAATAACCTACCCCACATCTCTCTGACATTAAACAACTGCCATGTATGCAACCCTTTACTGATGTCATTATTTTGTATCAGTGGAAAATACATCTCTAGGAATGTATTATCTTCAACATCTGCCATATAAGTACTATACAGGCCTGGTCCCTCTTACTGTAAAATCCCCTAGTGCATCATCTTGTACGATGAATAAAACATTTGTCACCTAAAAATAGTGAAACGATTTGATAGAAAGTTACGGAGTATATTACATGAATGGCAGTAAAAAGACTGTGCGAGGTTGAAGCATGTGACTGTCTGTTAGAAAAACATGATAAAACGTATAAACTGGGTGGTTCGAGCCCTGAATGCTGATTGGCTGAAAGCTGTGGTATATCAGACCGTATACCACGTGTATGACAAAACATGTATTTTTACTGTTGGTAGCCAGTTTATAATAGCAATAAGGCACCTCAGGGGTTTGTGGTATATTGCCAATATACCACGGCTAAGGTTGTATCCAGGCACTCTGCGTTGCGTCGTGCTTAAGAACAGCCCTTAGCCTTGGTATATCGGTATATACCCCCTTGTACATTATTGCTTAATTATCTATCATTTACCGTATTGTACAGATTAATATTATGAAATTGATAAGTAATTCACCTTGGTCTCATATAGAAACTAAACCATTTGGTGTTGACCGGGATCTGTGCAACCAGCCAACTGCAGAATGGGGAGGATGATGAGACAGCAAGGAGTTTAGATGAGATCTGCAGCAGGCAGCAGGGGTGGACCGTCGCCTTGCTGATATCAGTGAGACTGAATGGATGTGCTGCTGTGACAGTGTAAGGGTAATCCGACCTGACTCCACGCCTGCTCTCGCCTCGGGGAGAAACACAGCTTCTTGTAGCCTGGGGCTACAAGAAGGCAGCTAGCAGCCTCTGCTGTTCAAACCAATCCCAGTTATCCCACAAACACTAGGGAATCATGGCTAATCACTTCCTCCATTTACGCAAGTACTGGGAACTTCCGTGCTATGATAAATGTATAGCTGGAAATTAAGATGAAATGAATTGTAAGTAACGTTCTTGAAAGCTCAGCATAAATATATAGTTCTGTACACTCTTGCTTTGTTACTGGAGCAGTGTGCTTTTGTGTGCATATGTGACTGTGAACAGTATGTGCATGTGCGTTCATGCATGCGTGTGTGTGTGTATGTTTCCATGTGTATGTTTCCGTGTGGGTGTGTTTGTGTGTGTGTGTGTGTGTGTGTGTGTGTGTGTGTGTGTGTGTGTGTGTGTGTGTGTGTGTGTGTGTGTGTGTGTGTGTGTGTGTGTGTGTGTGTGTGAGTGAGTGAGTGAGTGTGTGTGTGTGTGTGTGTGTGTGTACCAGTGGAGGCTCCTCAGAGGAGGAAGGGGAGGACCATCCTCCTCAGTGAATTTCAGAAATACTTAAATAGTGAAACATAAAAAAGTTAAAACTATATTAAATATATTCAGCAAATAATTAATTAAAACACTTTGTTTTGCAATGAAGGTCTACAGTAGCCTCAACAGCACTCTCTGGGGTAGCACCATGGTGTAGCTAGTTTCTGTCCTCTGGGTACATTGACTTCAATACAAAACCTAGGAGGCTCATGGTTCTCACCACCTTCCATAGACTTACACAGTAATTATGACAACTTCCGGAGGACGTCCTCCAACCTATCTGTCACGCCCTGACTCAGAGGACGCTTGTATGTTGAGTCAGGGTGTGTATTTTCCTTGCTGTGTTTGTCCATGTTGTACAATCTAGTATGTATAGATCTATGTTGGCCTGTGTGGTTCCCAATCAGAGGCAGCTGTCGCTCGTTGTCTCTGATTGGGGACCATACTTAGGCAGCCTATTGGCACTAGTGGGTTGTGGGATCTTGTTCCGTGTTAAGGTATGTTGTGTTGTGCTGCCTTGGACTTCACGTTTCGTTTTGTTTGTTATTTTGTCGTTGTGTTTGATATTTAATAAACATGTACGCATATCACGCTGCGCCTTGGTCCGTCCCGTCTGTAAGCGAACGTGACAGAAGATCCCACCAAACGAGGACCAAGCAGCGTGTTCAGGAGCAAACGCCAGGAATTCAACAGGAGGTTACATTAGTAGATGTCCTCCTCGGTTGGGGGAGAATTACGGAGGAGGAGGCCGTCCGTTACCGGAAGGCGATGAAGGAGGATGCCCAGGTAGGAGAGGAGAAACGGCGCCAACAGTGCCGACGACGGAGACCCGAGAGGCAACCCCAAGAAAAAATTTTGGGGGGGGCACACGGTGTGGACGACGAGGCAGCAGGAGGCCGTTAAAGGGCGGATCTGCAGGTTAGGAGAGGAGGCCACAATGTTACGGGGGCTATTGGTTCAGAGGGAGCAGGAGTTATTCGGTCAGAGGGAGGCACTACAGGAGGCTATAAGGGAGAAGGAAAGTGTAGAGGCACGGCGAGAGGAGCTGGTTAGGCAGCAGAAGGAGCGGGGGTTAATAAAGGAACCCAGTCCCGCTCCTCGCACCAAGCAAGTGGTGCGTGTCGCCAGTCCGGTCCGGCCCGTTCCTGCTTCCCGCACTAAGCCAGTGGTGCGTGTTCCCAGTACGGCCCGACCCATTCCTGCACCTCGCACCAAGCCAGTGGTGCGCGTCGCCAGCCCGGCCCGGCCTGTTCCTGCCCCTCGCACCAAGCCAGTGGTGCGCGTCGCCAGCCCGGCCCGGCCTGTTCCTGCCCCTCGCACCAAGCCAGTGGTGCGCGTCGCCAGCCCGGTCCGGCCTGTTCCTGTCCCTCGCACCATGCCAGTGGTGTGCGTCGCCAGCCCGGTCCGGCCTGTTCCTGCCCCTCGCACCAAGCTAGTGTTGCGCATCGCCAGCCCGGCCTGGCCTGTTCCTGCCCCTCGCACCAAGCCAGTGGTGCGCGTCGCCAGCCCGGTCCGGCCTGTTCCTGTCCCTCGCACCAAGCCAGTGGTGCGCGTCGCCAGCCCGGCCCGGCCTGTTCCTGCTCCCCGCACCAGGCCAGTGGTGCGCGTCGCCAGTCCGGTACGGCCCATACCTGCTCCCCGCACCAAGCCAGTGGTACGCGTCGCCAGCCCGGTCCGGCCCGTTCCTGTTCCACCGGTGCCTGATCCAGCACCAGTCAGCTGCTCCACTCCGGAGCCAGAGCAGTCCGCTCCACCGGTGCCCAGTTCAGCTCCGGTCAGCTGCTCCACTCCGGAGCCAGAGCAATCCGCTTCACCGGGGTCCAGTCCAGCTCCGGTCAGCGGCTCCACTCCGGAGCCAGAGCAGTCCGCTCCACCGGTGCCTGATCCAGCTCCTGTCAGCTGCTCCACTCCGGAGCCAGAGCAGTCCGCTCCACCGGGGTCTAGTCCAGATCCGGTCAGCGGCTCCACTCCAGAGCCAGAGCAGTCCGCTCCACCGGTGCCCAGTCCAGCTCCGGTCAGCGGCTCCAGTCCGGAGCCTGTGAAGTCCGCTCCACCGGTGCCCGGTCCAGCTCCGGTCAGCGGCTCCAGTCCAGACCCAGACGTCAGCCCCTCTCCAGGTTCGGGGTCTCCCACACCAGGGTCCAGACAGGGCTTGGTACTTCGTGGGAGAAAGGAGTGGGGAAGCAGTGCGCCGAGGTCCAGACCAGACCAGGGGCGCAACAGACAGGCGGAGAGTAAGTGGTCGTCACGCCCTGAGCCGGATCCGCCTCCGAGGCGGAATGCCCACCCGGCCCCTACCCTGTTATGTTTATGTTGTGCGGTCGGAGTCCGCACCTTTGGGGGGGGGGGTACTGTCACGCCCTGACTCAGAGGACGCTTGTATGTTGAGTCAGGGTGTGTATTTTCCTTGCTGTGTTTGTCCATGTTGTACTTTCTATTATGTGTAGATCTATGTTGGCCGGTGTGGTTCCCAATCAGAGGCAGCTGTAGCTCGTTGTCTCTGATTGGGGACCATACTTAGGCAGCCTATTGGCACTAGTGGGTTGTGGGATCTTGTTCCAGTTAAGGTATGTTGTGTTGCCTTGGACTTCACGTTTCGTTTTGTTTGTTATTTTGTCGTTGTGTTTAATATTTAATAAACATGTACGCATATCACGCTGCACCTTGGTCTGACCTGTCGATGAATGAACGTGACACTATCAGAGCTCTTGCAGCATGAACTGATGGATCAGAGAATTACTCTAGTCCTGAAAAGCATAAGCTACAGCTAGCTAGCACTGCAGTGCATGAAATGTGGTGAGTAGTTGACTCAAAGAGAAAGAAAGACAATATTTGAACAGTTTTGAACAAAGAAATTTCTTCACAAATGAAGGAAAAGCAAGAGAGTGATAGAGAGAGATTTTTTTAAATGTTCACTTTCACTTTCTTAGCTAGTGAATGCAGCTAGCTAGTTTAGCCTACTCAAACATGCTATGTTAGTTAGCTGGCTATGGCTATCCAACACTGGAACTCTTCCAAGTCAAGGTAAGCTTTTGGTTTGATTAATTTATTGCAAATGTGGCGGTGTAACTGCTAAACTGCTTGCTGTCCACTGTACTGCATGATTGTAACGGGTTTTCTAACGCGTTGGTTCTAGTAGCTATGTTGACTATGACGTTAGCTAATATGGTGACAACGATGTAGGCTGTGTGTAGCGGTTAGCGGTTATGGTATGAAGGTTTGGCTTGGAAAGCTTTTTTCGCCTGGTCAGAGACAGCTGTTGCGTTGTGCAATGAAGTCCACAAGCAAAGGGAAAAGGTGAGAGGAGGAGAGGGCGTAGATGCGAGAAGGAATTATGATCAAAGTGATCATGCTGTTTTTATGTGCCTGCTATGAAAGTGAACTGTGTTTGCAGGTTATCAGGGGTGTATTTATTCCGCCGATTCTTTTGAAAAACGTTTCTTAAACGGAAGCAAACGGAACGAAATGGGGATAAACATACCTGAATTTGTCCAATAGAAACTCTCGTTTGCAACTGTTGGACTAATGATTACACCCTAGATCAGCTAGATGCAGGCTAGAGTGTGCAAGGCTGTATTGAATGTGTCACTGTCTATCACCTTGATTACTCACATTTTTCTCTCGACCTGTGCACCTATGTTTTAAACTTTCATTTGTAGGCTAGGTTGTAGCAACCTCATGATGGGTATAGGGAAACATTTTGTATCATGTAGTAGCCTAAACCTATCGATGTTACATTGAGCTGGGTGAATGGAATATGAATGACAGTCATCCAATATGCTGTAATAGAAATAATGCCATGCTCATAAAAAATACATTTGTCTTCCCTCATCTTAAACGGCACTGACCACCACTGGTGTGTACTCAAACTATGTTGTTCAGATACTGTGATTCTGGCCTGGGGGCTTGTGAGTAACATCACATGGAAGACACCTGAGCACACACTGTTGGCGTGAGCTGAATCCTAGTCACAACACACAGCTCAGTGACCAGCCACTAGAGCAACTCAAGAACCAGGCAAATCAACCTTCACAATGTGTTACTATGTGCTAAAATGAGCAGGCCTTCTCTTTAGTCATCAGGTCTTTACAATTCAGACACAAAAATAGATTATTTTCAGCGATCTACGCACTATTATTGTCATGAGTCACGACTAACCGACCAATCAGAGTATTTTCCTGTCCTGAAGTGCACTGCAGCTCAAACAGCTGTCTTGTTACCACCCTATCTAGTCTCATGGGTACGGTGTCCATATTAGGACAGCCTCAGTCTCAGCAGGAGTAGCCTCAGTCTTGAAAACAACAGCCTTCTCTCAATTGGCCATGTGGGTGGCCTTCTAACCTTCCTTCCAGGCTTCCACACAATTTACTTAAGGTATTGTACTTCATAATGTCAATGTACCTTCGAGTTCCTCCTTCTCAAAGTTGGTTTTCAGCATGGACCGGGTTCCACCTCTGTCCACCACAGCCTCTTCATCATTTCTCTGTGAAGGAGAGACAAAGTTCTGTCAGAATTTGTCTTTGGAGAATAATTCAAATGGTCAGCAAACACTTTGTTGGACAGGCCTCTAAAGAAGCCAAGCAGCCAATGAAAAACTGAAATGATTGCAGTTGTGTAGTGTTGTGCTGTGCTGTGCATTGCTTGGTGGCGATATTGTTCCATAATTGGAACAATTGCAATGTTGAATCCATGTAGTCATTATCTTCCCCAGGATAATATTATTGCTTTAAAAAACACTGGATAATACCCAGGAGTCTCGTTTGGCATGGTTTATTTGAGGTGCACTGAATCACACTGATCGCACTTAGTTAGCAGATTGTAACGGGCTAAAGTGATGCGCCATTAGCCAATACAGGTTAGGTACTGTTTGGCGTAGCACAGATAATTTTTTGACCAACCTTAACTTGCAGATACTTCCTCAATTCCCGACTTGGAAGACAACCAATGTTTTCTAAACGTACATGTCTAGTTGCAGGGGGTACATTTGAATTGAATTACATTTGAAAATGCTCCGTTATTAAATAAATTAAATGTTTTGCTCCATGAAGTAATCCAACGATGTGTACGACGCCATCTTGTCTATTTCAAATCTTCTCTCATTGATTGAGACAGGTGGGTGTCCACCCCAAAGTGCTGCATGTCATGATGACACTCACCTGTCTTAATCAATGAGAGAAGATTTGAAATAGACAAGATGGTAGTACCTATCTAATAATTCCTATCAGCCAGCTGGAACAGAGTCATGGTCTGACTAGGCAATATTTTAAATAGCTACATCACACTTTGGTTAAACAGAATAGCACATTATGCTTGTTGTCTTAGCTGCATGCACATGGTAGCCAGGTCACCTAGGCATTTCAATGTTCCAGCTCAAACAATAATCTACTCGAGGGTCAACTAAAAAGTACTCAAGGTATAGTTTTTTACATGACCATGACAGATGTATTCATTACTGACAAATAACATTGACAGACTTACATAGTATCAAGAATGATAAACCGGCACATTAGCTCCTATAAGCATTGGGGCTATAGAAGTGAACGAGGTTATAACATAAAAACAGAAAGGGTATATAATACCTTTGTGAGAAGTAAGTTGACCTCAGAAAACGTCATTACATGGTGACAGCTGGATAGTGTAGATTTACACACAGTGTTTCCTGTTTGGAAAAGCCCGAGTCTGACTAAAAGAGCCTCTTCTAAAAACACTTATCAGAGTGAACAACCACTCAGTCCTATTGCGAATGAACTGTGATGCAGTTACTAAACACATTTTAACACATTTGGCACCTTACACCACACAGTCATTGTGAAACGAATCCTCTGCTATCCAGAACCATAGACGTGTCTAGATTAAGTGTGAAAGTGTCAGATGTGTGGTGCTGATGAGAAGGAGACTTGGGGAGATTAGTGGTGAATGCTGCTGATATGATGACCGCACATGTCAGAGAGAGAGAGAGAGAGAGAGAGAGAGAGAGAGAGAGAGAGAGAGAGAGAGAGAGAGAGAGAGAGAGAGAGAGAGAGAGAGAGAGAGAGAGAGAGAGAGAGAGAGAGAGAGAGAGAGAGAGAGAGAGATTCAGGGCTGGGTGTCACGACACAACAAGATGCTCACAAATCTAATTTAAAGACATTTCCCCTTCGAAACCCTAGGAATTACAATCTCCAACTGAGCAGTCTTTGTCCTGAGCAGTCTTTCTCCGGATGTGATGTGTTATCAATCGTCTGCTCCCAAACATGACAGTTATAGTAAATCACAAGGTTGTACAATAGTTATAAATAAGTGAATTATGCTTTGTCATTGTTATGACTTGGGCTATGGTCTCAGGGTGGCTGTTATATTTCGAAGTCCAGATGTTATGTTGCTGCTGCAAACAATAAGAACTTACAAATAGCAGAGACGCCGCAGAAATCCAACAACCCAACAACTTCAAGATGTCTTACCCCTGCTTCAGTGGAACACAAACCCTACATGGTGTGCTTCTTTTCTGTCTGTGAGCCTATGTATGAGTGTCTGTGTGTGTGTCTATGTGTGATTCTGTGTGTCTGTGTGTGAGGTGACTCATATACAGTATATAGCATATGGTACAACAAACTACCGGATCATTCACATATATCTCCGTGTATTCATCAAGCAAGAAAATTAGCAACGTTCTGGTTAATGTATGCAGGCCTATCCAATGTTGCAGTATGTTTCTGACAGTCCATACTGATAAACCAATCAAAGAGTAGACCTGTTGAGCAGTACTGACAAAAACATCCAATGGCACTTTGTAGGGGGCAGTATCATTGAAGTGCTGGCGTAGCTTACTAGAGCCTTCCCACAATTCACTGGCTCTGCCTGTTCCTCCACCCTACAGTGTAGAAAGGGCTAGTGGTTAGAGGGAGTATATCTTCATCTGGCCATGCTTCTCTCTCTGATGTGTGCCACTCTCTCTCTCTCTTATGTCTCCTCAAAGGCTTCATTGATGCCGGGAGACAGACAATGTATGTATCTCTTGCAGACGTCACTGAGTGGGCTGGTGACGTGCACGCTCCTGCTCCATCCTGCAGTACCAGCCCCTATATATACTATCATTACGGTGTCAGCCTGTCTACGGAGTTTTGTGACCCAAATAGCTGTCTTCGCCCTAACCACAGAAGTCCAAGGAGTGTTCAGGAGAACTAGCAGTAATAACCTCATTACTGACAGTGTACAAAACATTAAGAACACCTTCCTAATATTGAGTTGCAAGGTCTGGCCTGTCAATAGTACTACAGTTTGTATACAATTAGTACACCCTGAACACAATCAATAAACAAACTGGATCCCATGTCTCACTGCTTCACTGTAACAACATGGACAGGGCATCATGACATGGATATCACACAAAATTTTTCCATGGGTAGTAGTTACTAACTGTTACGAGTGAACTGAAGCCAATTGAACAAGTTATACTATATTCTTTAAATACAGTTATTGCACCATGTTCATACTAAGCACAAGAAATGTGAAACACTGACAAAGTTACTATGTTGTACATCTGTGTACACTAAGAATGATAGAATCAGCTTTATTTTGATGTGTTCTCTAAGATGGTCAGAAACTGACAGATGAAATCTACTTAGTAACCAAAATAAGTAGATTTATTACTAAAAGATTCCAAAGTATAAACCAAACAATGTGCGTGAAAACCTTGCTGGATGGCAAAAAGCTAAATTGAGCTTTGAAGACAGCACTTTGTACTGCTCTGATTCTTCAGTCAGGACTATGGCCTCTCACACAAAACGCTCTCTAGTAGGATGATGTCATGTGCGTGAACAGGTGGGGCTTCAGAATGACTCAAAACAGAGACCAAGAAATGACAGAAAGCAAAGTTCAGAGGTCAAAGATCAAGTTTTCGAAAGCATTGATGACATCTCTCAAGTCCATGACTGCGTCCCGAATGGCACCCTATTCCCTATACAGTGTCCTACTTTTGACCAGTGCCCATTGGGATGCAACCAATCTATTGTAAAATAGTGTGCTAATGGTCTGGTATCATCAAGTGCAGTAGGAGTAAACCCAAGCTGTAATTACAGTGCAGCAGCATATCTGTGTAGAGCAAACATCTGGGCTTGGGAGCATTACAGTACACATCACACGCTACTGTAGTACTTCAATGATGCAGCAGCACGCTCTGCTATTAGACTTGCCACTCCCAGAACACAAACACAAGCATAGAGGTTTATCTACAAATGACATCTACAGTTTAACTGAAGTGTGTGTGAAGTGTGTTATCATTGATTACCTGTGCTGTATAGATATAGCATTTCTATTTCACTCTATGGTTTGCCTTGGTACATGCTTTCCTGAAACCTGTCTTGGACATCAAATCAAAATAAAATAAAATGTTATTGGTCGCATACACATATTTAGCAGATGTTATTGCGGGTGTAGCGAAATGCTTGTGTTCCTAGCTCCAACAGAAGCTCTGGCCCTGGACCAGCGCTAGGACACAAGGGCCCATTTGGATGCTGAAGGACACTGCTGTCCGTCCACAGCTGCAGTGGCATATGGTTCAGTCTCCGTGGCCAGGACCCAGGATGGTAATCTGAATGCTAATACACTGGAGGGCTCAAAATATGTGCAGCGCTACAGGATTAAAGTACACACTGCACATTTTGGTTAGCGATATATTAACAGTACATTTACTTACTTAGTCCTCTTCGTCCCGGGTGAGACCTAAGGCTGCACAGCACATTAGCTTACATTAAAATGTGTTATTACTGTATTCAGTTTTGTCTGTGTGCATCCGGAAGTGTTTGTTTGTCGTGTATAGCATTCTTTGCTGTTTGTACAATATAGTAAACCAAGGCATGTGTTGTTGTGCGTGGTAAAGAGTTAATGTCATGTAAAACTGTTTTAGGGTTAATCTACTTTTTCCAAAAGCAATGGCTTGTGACCTATTTTCCCCAACTAGAACACCTCTCTATGTGGGGTTTCTGGCTAACCTGGTGGGCTATATCCAATACTCCTAATGAGAATGACGTTGAGCATTGCAGTAGCAGCATGACATACTGTAGGAATGAAAAACAAGAGAAAAAATATGGCCAAAGATCAGTAGGCTACAATAAATGAACAACAGTGGTGAAAATGGAAGGGTGATGATGTTGAATAGTGTTGGCCTAACTCGTACTGTATGAGTGTTGTGCATTCAAAGGTAAATCCATATTTAAGAGCAGAGGACTGTGGGGGATTAGTGGGGGCAGCCCAAGTGATTTAATTGGATGAGGCAGACATAATTTGAGGTCTGATCCCTGCAGATGGCAATAGTCACTCAGCACCAGCAGCATCATAATGACAACAACACTGTGTTCAGATGGCTCCGGTGTGAAGTTTCCCATAGGTACAGATCTAGGATCAGCTTCCCTTCCCCCAATCCTAACCTTAACCATATGAGGGGGGAAATGCTAAACTGACCCAAGATCAGTGTCTACTGCTCAGATGAGCTCAGCTTTGCATAGAACACAAAGTACATAATACAAAGAATACAGTTGAAAAATATATTGCAAATAGAAATCCAATATGGATGTGTTAAGAGATAGATGGGAGGTGTTGAATGGAGCTGAAGGATGGGACTAATAACAACTAACAACAACTAATAACAACAAGATAACTAATGTAAAGCATACAGTGTCCATAATAAGTATATAGGTTATAGCTTGAGAGCTTTCGTGAAAGAGCACAGTTAGAAAGATATGGCATATAGAAGCAAACTGGATGGACATCATGAAAATGATCAGAGAGGTTGAGGGTAGAGGAAGTTCAGGAGTAAAAACAATCAAAATGTAATTATTGTAAAATTGACTGTGTCCATAAAATGTACACTACCGTTCAAAGTTTGGGGTCACTTAGAAATGTCCTTGTTTTCGAAAGAAAAACAATTTTTTGTCCATTAAAATAACATCAAATTGATCAGAAATACAGTGTAGACATTGTTAATGTTGAAAATGGTTATTGTAGCTGGAAACGTCTGATTTTTTATGGAATATCTACATAGGCGTACCGAGGCCCATTATCAGCAACCATCAGTCCTGTGTTCCAATGGCACGTTGTGTTTGCTAATCCAAGTTTATCATTTTAAAAGGCTAATTGATCATTAGAAAACCTTTTGCAATTATGTTAGCACAGCTGAAAACTGTAGTGCTGATTAAAGAAGCATTAAAACTGGCCTTCTTGAGACTAGTTGAGTATCTGGAGCATCAGCAATTGTGGGTTCGATTACAGGCTCAAAATGGCCAGAAACAAATAACTTTCTTCTGAAACTCGACAAATGAAGGCTATTCCATGCGAGAAATTGCCAAGAAACTGAAGATGTCGTACAACGCTGTGTACTACTCCCTTCACAGAAGGCCCCGGTGCCCAACTGAGCAAGAGGACAAATACATTAGAGTGTCTAGTTTAAGAAACAGACGCATCACAGGTCCTCAACTGGCAGCTTCATTAAATAGTACCCGCAAAACACCTGTGAGGAGTCTGTTTCTCAAACTAGACACTCTAATGTATTTGTCCTCTTGCATAGTTGTGCACCGGGGCCTCCCACTCCTCTTTCTATTCTGGTTAGAGCCAGTTTGCGCTGTTCTGTGAAGGGAGTAGATATTCCATTAAAAATCAGCCGTTTCCAGCTACAATAGCCATTTACAACATTAACAATGTCTACATTGAATTTCTGATCAATTTGATGTTATTTTAATGGACAAAAACATTGCTTTTCTTTCGAAAACAAGGACATTTCTAAGTGACCCCAAACTTTTGAACGGTAGTGTATATATATTTATATGTATGTATGTGTATATGTATGTGTATATATGGATATGTATATATATATATATATATATATATATGTATATGTATGTATGTGTATATGTATGTGTATATATGGATATGTATATATATATATATATATATATATATATATATATATATATATATATATATATTTGCGAGAAAAAAAACATATGGGGGATTGGAAGTGATGCAGACAATTACATTGATGGAAGTTACAATCTATCTGCAATATTAAAGCTGATCTACCCCCTAAAAAAAAAAGTTAAAAAAAAAAAGATTACAATCCTTCAACTTCCATTCACTTTTACCCGCAACAAAGTTGACACCTCTCTAAGACTCAGGAAGGACATCCAAAAACATTTCGCCCTTACAGGCTCTGTAATACTAAATGGTAAGCAGGCTTTGCCTTTGCTGGTGCAGAATTAATATGAGTGCACTCATCTCCTCTCCTGTATCCAAGGGATCAATGGCTGACATCAGCAGGACAGGCTATCTCCTTTCTCCTTTCTCTCCCACCTCAGCCCACTGGCTGCCCCCTATCTCTCCCCTATCTCCTCCTATCTCTGAGAGGTATACTTACTGTACACTTAGATACGACGTTAACTTCGCTATTAACTTAACACCATTCAAATAGTATATTTAATTGTGTTAACTTTGCCCTCATGTTATTAAAGAACAGGATACTGCAAGCATGATGAAGTGAAGCTGTTTGACAATGAGGTGTACAGATATTTCAAAATGTATTTTAGCATAACCAGGAAACATCAGCATCACACACACACCCTTTAACCTTAGATAACCTAAAGAATGTCTGGCGATGAACATCCTCCCAAACACAGAGCAGAACAGAGAGCAGAGCATAGTCATACCGTTTCAGAGTAAACAGAGCACAGTTATACCTTTAAAGAATAAAAGCGACTTTTAGGATCCAAGCCTCCAGCAGAATGCATGACCTTATCCTTAAGGTTTCCTCTTGTACTGCTGCTGAGCCGAGGACAGGTGGCTGAGCTGAGCTGAGCTCCGTAGTACCTGTGCCTCTGCTTCCGGGACAGGCACACACTCTGCAAAGCAGTCTACCCTCTCACCATGCCAGGAACAGCCTTACAAACGTACACTCACACCCTCTGTTGATTCACACAACCTCAACATGTTTTAACAACTGAGCAACCATTTATCCACCAATCCTGCATGAGATTACAACAGTGACATCACTGGTGTCCAGACTCTTATCTAAGAGGGAGGTAGCTGGTGCCAAGCCACTGTGTTTCCCTCTTTTGTATGGCTTTCAGAGTAAAGCCCCTGTAGTAGCAGCTTGCCATCACTGCACCACTCTACACCGCATCGCACCACCTTGACCCGTCAGCTCAGCCACTCTGGCCTGAACTTGCTCTCTCGCTCTCTCTCTCTCTCTCTCTTTTATTCTCTCTCTCTCTCTCTCTCTCTCTCTCTCTCTCTCTCTCTGTCTCTCTCTCTCTGTCTTTTATTCTCTCTCTCTCCCTCTCTCCTTTATTCTCTCTCTCTGGAGAGCTCAGGTAAACCATGATGCAATACAAAAGATGGGGAGCCATCACCCCAATGTAGCCAACTAAAACCCTTCTATGCAGTGTAAGTTCAATATTTTAAAGGCCCAGTGCAGTCAAAAACTTGATTTTCTTGTGTTTTATATATATTTCTACACTATGAGGTTGGAATAAGACTGTGAAATTGTGAAACTTATGATAATGCCTTTTTAGTGTAAGAGCTGTTTGAAAAGACCACCTGAAATTTAAGTCTGTTTTGGTGAGAGGGAGTTTTGTTCCAAACTTCTCTGCCAATAACAGCACATTTTCAGTTTTCCTCCTCCCACTCAAACCACTCCCAGACAGTCCTAGCTAAATTCTTCCTTGAGAAATTGCTCTTCGCTAAGAAGCTATTTTTGTATCTTTGTGACCATTTAAATTGAAAACAATCACAGTATTGAGATTTTAAAAAGTCTGCATTTGACATTTACATGATGCATTGCCTACCAGTGCCAGCATATACATATTGAACAATGTTTGTTTGTGTATCAATGCCATATTGAACAAACTATCTGTGTATCAGTACCAGATTGAACAAACACAACAATGTCACTGACACTGAGATAATTCAATTGTTTAGCATTGATTTTATGAATCTATTTTAGAGACACATAAGCATGTACTTTGATAGACAGACCAGTGAACAGAAACAAAATGCTTTTTCAAGCACATAAAAAATAAATCAGAGAGCTAATTTACCACACTTCTGTTTCCAGGAGTTGACACCTGAATAGACAATATTGTCATTATCAGCATTTCTTAGGCAAGCAAGTCCATGGCAGTCCATGAAACATAACAACTTCAAAAGCAGCTTGGTAACCTGTGTAGGGCAGAAGTTGTGCTCCTCTCCAGTAGTCTTGAGGCTGTGTCCAAAATGCACCCTATTCTATAATCTCTACATGATCAGAGCCCTGGTCAAAGGTAGTATAAAGGGAATTGGGTGCCATTTGGGATGCAGGCTGAGAGAGCCTTTTGGAGAGCAAAGGCCTCCACATGTCTAGTGGGGCACATTCCTGGCATGATACTGTTCTATGCCATATGGTTCATCTATGGTTCATCAATCACATTACATTTAAATGTTTAGTAATTTAGCAAACGCTCTTATCCAGAGCGACTTACAGTTAGTGAGTTCATAAATTGTTTTGTTCATACACATCCGTTTGAGCCACCAGTACTTCTCAGCAGGGTTGAGATGACAGTTATGGATTTTAGGCCAAATATTTGCCAGGGGGAAGCCAACATATATGCTATATAGCTTTGAGCAACTACTGGACTAGAATATAATGAAAGTATATCCAATATTTATGATGATGATGCCTCTGAATATGAGTCTGTTATATGAATGCAGTGAATACAGCAAAGCCATGTGGGCAATACATGCAGATTTATACTATCGCTGTTGAAAGGAGGATGGTCTAATTACAGGAAATGTATGAAGACGTATCCCACTGGTCAAAAATTGGTTGAATCAACGTTGTTTCCACGTCATTTCAACAAAAATATTAAATGTGATGACGTTGAATCAACGTGGAAAACTGATTGGATTTGCAAAAAGTCATTAACGTAAGGGAATTTCCTATTTTTTTCACCCGACTTTTAACCTAAATCCAATGGCATGGTGAAAGGTTTTGTTGATTTCACGTTGAATTCACCCTTGTTGATATGTAAATCAAATGTAAATCAAAACTAGACATTGAACTGACATCTGTGCCCAGTGGGATGTCATATAAAATAAGTTGTCATCTTCATGAATTCTTTGTATGTATCTTTCAAATTCATTTTTGTTGTGGATTTTTAACACAGTGCATTTTCTGTACATAAAGTACATTTCTGTGAACAACAGACAATTACGTCAATCTGATCTAAATCAAATTGCTGATCAAGTGTGAGCTCTGATTGGATAATAAGCACATCAACATTTTGTGCACAGAGAATAGAGTCAGGAATATAGTGCTGTAAACAGAGATTACTGTACTCATCATTCCACATGGCTCACAACAACCTAGAGAGCATCCAAATGTTGGACCCTGACCTAAACCAGCTGCATGTTAAGAAGGTTGTCCAGTCCTGCTTTTATCATCTAAGACATATAGCTAAAGTCAAGTATTTTATTTCAGTCACTGATCTGGAGAACATTATACATGCTTTTATTTCCTCACGCCTAAATTACTGTGAAATTGGTACGTGACAGCATTAAGCACAGGAACAGAACAGAACAGCCTCATCCACCAGTCATCCTCCTGTCAGACATCACACCAGTCAATGCAGTCTATGAAGAGGATTGTATTTTGGGGGTTATATAAAAAGCTGCTTTACTGTCAACAGCAAATGGATAATGAAAACAAATCTCTTCGGAAGTGATTAGAGCAGCAGAGATGCCGGTAGTGCATAAAAATGCTATTTTTAATTTCATCTGGACTAGTTTGAAAAATGTTAATTGCATCCTTCCTTACACAAGCACTCAGAGACATGCTAAACTGAGGTTGACATCAGAGGCCTGTGCAGTTGCTGGATATGCTCTTAGGAAGCCCATCATCCAGTGCCGTTTATAGGCATAAGTGACATAAGCAGCTTAAGGCCCCGAGACCACTAGGAAGGCAGTCGTGGTCTTAACATACTGTTAGTTTGGATAGTAGAATAGGCTACACAACGTGCAATTTCAAAATTTGGTAGTGCATCAGCAGCTTTCCTTTTGTTATGTCAGTCACTGAAAGGCACTCAATTAACCGATGTCAGCTAAACATTTTTTGATTGCTAGGTAAGTTAGTCTAGCCAGCTATCTAAACCTTGTAGTAATCATGGCCGAATAGGGGCCCTGACCTCCAGGGGGCCCCCATTGATTTTGTTAGTCCCTCTCACTCAGATATCATATGAACATGGCATAAGTCATGGCGAAATGTGTAGAACTGCAGGAAATGTGATTTAAAACTGCAAAGTTGTCTCTGCCCCATGGAAAAAAAAGTGTAGAATTGCAGAAAAATAAGTTTAAAGCTGCAGAAGTTTCTCTCCGCCCCAAGAGGGGGTCCACTAAAATGTTTGCCCGTGAGGTGGGGGGGCTCCCCAACCAAATCTCGCTTAGATCCCCAGAAAAGCTAGAAATGGCCATGCCATCACCCACCAATGCATCCAACAAAAATACTGTCATAGTTATGTGCAGTGCAAGATAGGTTAACATTGTCCAAAGGCAAATGTTGAATATAGAGTTATGCCTGGTTACAGACACCCTTGGCCTAAAGTGCACTTGAAGGGAAGGATGACTGTCCCCGTCTATACCCACTGGACACAAACTGGTTGAATCAACGTTGTTTCAACGTAATTTGTCAACGTATTGTGACGTGGAATCTACGTGGAAAATATATTGTCCTCAAAAAGTCATCAAAAAACTTTGAAAAAAGTTATTTTAAAAACTGTTGTTTTGAGGGTGGAATTTCAACCACAGGATTATGTCATCATTGTAACCCATTTTCAACATAGAGAAACCTGGTATAAAATATGTTGAATTTGTACCTTTGAAACAACGTCAGATTTTCAACCTTATATCCACTATCAGAAAAAAAACAATAGGCTGGGAGCACCTCATATGGAGAGTTGCTCTAGCTACAGCTATTAATTTGTTCTCCCATCCAGGGTTTCAGCCAAGCCCTGCTTAGCTTTGATATTTGTCACTGAGTACGGTTATATGCACACAATAAGGAGATTATTGTTGATAGTCAGATTAATATAATAGTTAGATTAAAATGTTTACATGCTTTGCAAGAAGAACGATGTCCCCAATAATCCTGTTTACATGGACACATCTGAAATCAGGCTACCTGATGGCACTCTGATAGATGCAGAAAATCGTCAATTAGAATAAACGTTCTACCACACCACTATTTTTGGGAAGCATATTTGATTCTGAGTTCAGACATATAAAGTTTGTATGTGAAAACTACTTCTAAGACACATAGATTCAGTTGTTCCGAACTCACTTCACTCGCGCTAAAGAGTGAGGCTCGCTCGGCTGGTGCTGGTACATGCACAGATCAAATACACCGCTGGAACGCCGATTAGGTGTTTACATGTCCTAATAATTTGAAAGATTGCGCAGAAAACTAGGTGTTTTAAACTGAGTATGCTTACTTCAATTTTGACCATACGCCAAATAAGATAAACAGAGTAAGGTGTTTACATGACTATTTCATAATCTGCCTACTGCCATAATCAGTTTAATATCTCATTATTACTGTGCATGTAAACATACTCACTGACTACTACCAATGTGTTATCTTGAGAATGATTATTGAGAGATCGCTTAAGACCTAAATGTATTCACTGTTGCTATCGAAGTCATTCCAAAGGGTAGGTTTAACAGAGCAAATGAAATGTAACCATACTTTATAAGTCATATATCATCAATGATACTATTTAGGCCTATACAGTATAGCATTTACATTTTAGTCATTTAAAAAGTCAACCCAGGGTTCAACTAAAAATAGACAATATATATAGGCCTAGGGTTTCAAGCTTTGGTTGATTTAAAATGTAATCTTCAAGTTAATCATTAATATGTTAGATTCACATCTCCATCTCAACCAAAAATCTAAGTTA